CCTAGAATTACGGAGTATAATGTAGATTGTGCTATATCTGAGTAGCCATTAACCCGTAGGAAGGGAAAGCACGAGGGAAACGAATCTCGATACAGAACCTGAAGCTATACCCACTTAGCTCGGCATAAGTCGTGAAGAAGATCGGCAAGGGCGAAAGAGGGATCCAATAGTGGACTGCAGATTATAGTCTTTTTCGACAAAGAGTGGAAAGGCATCATGCAATAACTCTCGGTGATATTCTTTCATTTCTACGATTCAATAGAGTGCTTCTTGTGGATATCCCGTACAGCAGATTGGTGAGAGCTTCGACAATTTTGTATATTAATGTAAACATTATCCACGTGGTTGGACAATCTCTGAGCAATATATAAGCTGAATGATATTAGTGTAGCCTGATTAGTATTAGCGCAGTTACTATTTGACCAGTCAGCAGTAATTAACGTAATGGAAATTTAAAATACAGTGATATCTAAGACACCTCTATACAAGAGTTAGCCTTGTATTTCCAGCCGGAGATCCTCATTCGCTACTTCGCTTATCATTTCTTTGTGATTTGCGCGTCGATCGATTCCAGAAGCGTGGTAGAATCCAGAGTCTACTTTTGAGTACTTTTGTTGTAGTAATTTGTCCTTCAAATTTGAAAATTGAAAAAAAACCCCCATATTCTCTCTTTGTGCTCGGGTGTTACAACCTAATTGGGGCGTTTTTTTTTTTTTGCTTTCTCTTTGACAAAAGTTACAGATCCTTCTGATTGCCAAAAAGTCAGATCTCCTTCAGACAAAGGTGACAAGACATGTACCTACCTCGCCCTAGACTTAATATGGGAAAAGAAGTTGTACGCACTAGTAGATACTGGATATTGAGCTCGCTTGGCATGGCTTTCTCCCCATTTTTGATTCGCGAGGTGCCTGGTTTAATAATACTATATAGAGGGATATAATTAATGATACCATGATGGTAGTATGACGATATCAAATACCCCAAAGGCCGAGGTGTACTATGCCAGAGCCACAAGGAAAAAAAAAAACCGAAAGATGTTTAATTTCATTGCGGGTGAGCTCTCTGGATCGAACCGTACAGGATTGGGTCGGCCCCCGTTTATTGTTTTAGTGCAAATGATGGCGTGGGGTCCAAGAAGCGGAGGTGTTCGGATTTAAGACCTTACACTAACATTGCACATCAACTGTCCTACTTCGTATACCGAATTAGGAACATAACACGACACTGCTCTATACTACATGTAGTAAAAGCACACTACTAGTGTAGGCGTGTCTAGTGCAAGAAATCCTGCACGCTTGTCACCTTGCGGCTGAAACATACGCCGAGAGTCCGAGGGCAAAAGCCAAAGGCTGAATCTGGGCCTATAGATAGGGGACTCGGATCCGAAGCGAAAGGCCGAGAGCGGAATCTTTGCTTATTAATGTTCTTTTTTCCTGACTAATGGATTTTTTCAAATCGCTAATAGCCAGGAGATAGTTCGTTGGAGATTACCCGGGACCCATGATCTGATGTTGCAACACTGGCGCCAGGGTTTTACGCCTTCAGCGGGCCCCAGCCAACAAAATCCAACACTCTGCGGGATTACTGGGGTGCTCGGGATGGTCGCTCTTGCCTGCAGGAGGTCACCGTCAGGTGCTTGTGCCCAGCCATTTTGTTTTGAGCTAGCTAGCTGGCTGGCTAGTTGGCTAGTTGGTATATGTAGCCACGAGCATAACCGGTTTACAACGGGCCCCCACTGATACAAATTAAGCACCTATATTGCTGTTACAATGTCCCTGTAAGTGTATCATGCCACGCGTTCGATCTGACAGTTCGGCGTAGTTCGGGGGGATCTATTACGATCCAAGATTTGCCTGAAACTATCCGAGCTTCAAATCACGATCCATGGAACGATGAGGGGATTCCGAGGTTACAAGGTTCGAAAAGGGATATTTGTGATCATTTAGGAATCTCCTTGGAGAGCATGGAGTACTCCATACCAGTCAAATATATCGGTATGCGGTACGGAGTTCTAGTAGAGATTACCTTGTACTCCGTAGTATGGATATACAGAACCTTTTGTCCCGTTGTGGGGGAGTGCCTATCCCCTCTCTCTCTCTCCGTTAGGCAACGGTTCTGTCCGCTCTAAAACTGTGGGTTCCCCCAGTGTTGCGCAGTGACTGCGCGTCTCCGGGATCCATCCAAGACAGGTTGAATCCTGATTTCCCTGCCATGTAGTATCCACGGTGCAATTTTCGGAAATTTGCGCATCAAACGAGTCATTTTGCCCCCTGTCGACGGGTCCATCCCGTTTCAAATGCGGGAGAGGAGATTTCCAGCTGAGAGAAGGGTCCAGATCTAAATGGATTCTAGATCGAGGTCTGAAAAGTTCAAAGTACAATGCTATCTACTCCGTACTTCGTAGGGAGGATAACATTAGAAAGGCCGATATTACCCAATTAATTGCGTGCTGCAGCCGTGGGGCTGTCGGCGGCTATCGCTAACGTTTAGCAACAGGACATAGCGTTCTTGGCTACTGACTTGGGACGGCTGCAGAGCCTGGAGAACAGTCAGGGATCTAAGATTTGGAATTCAACCCTGCATATTCTTCTCCGACGGAGTTAGATTATCATAATTGAGATACAAACAAAGAAAAAAAAATTCACTAAAAAAGGGAGTTTCGACACCTCTCACCGATCTACGCGGCTCAGACCGAAAAAAAGAAATATGAAATCATCAGACGTTGAGCAATTGAAGAAGATGATTGGTTAAATACACATGAATTTTGGACCAATCTGCCCACGTTGTGAATTTGAATAAATTAAAATAATTTCTTTTTCTTTCTTTTTTGATGTACTATAGTTGGTTGGCCGTTAGGGGGCGGGCATAACCAATATGCACATCATGACTCGCGCAATGTGACAATAATTAAACTTGGAAATTACCAAGTTCTTTTGAGATGGGATGAGCACGGTAATGTCTATTCAGGAAGGAGTTAATATTTGGGTCCCAGGATGAAGCGCGCATATCATCTGCATATACGTTCTTAGTGTACGGAGTACTCCATGTCCAAGATAAAATGGAAACTGCTAGTGTAAAATATATTATACACGTGACTGAAACTGTCTGCGGCTACGCGACTGACGAACGCCAAAAGTATTGTGATTGGACATGGATAGACAAAGAAAACAAAGTGGGGAGGGGGGAAAAGGCTGGTTTTAGCCCCGGGGGGAGCCATGTTGATCCGATCTGCACGGAATCGGGGGCTTCAGGGACTAGGATTGTGAGGTCAGGCTTGCCAAGGGGGTCTCGGAAGTTACGGGCCATACAGAATCGACGGATGGCGCCCTAATTGACGGATTTCACGCTTGCGCAAGTTGACTGCGCCGCAAAGATATCACAACGTTTCTGCCTTTTCTTTTCTTTTCGTTCCTATGATAATTTGAGGAGATTGCGTGTCTCCAGGCAATTAGATACAGGTTTATATATAACCCGATACAATGGTATCCTGGTACCGGTTTACCTGCTTAGACCTGCCTATACCTGCCTATATTCTATACACTTTTTCCCCCCTCAAACGTAAAACTGTGAAGAAAATCCAAGGAAACCGTTGGCGGCTGCAGACTGACGATCTGCCTGGTCAAGGCGCAGATCGAGGGAAAATGGCGCATGGGAAAATTATCACGCGAGTAACATCTAAAGGCCGTAAGTGGAGAGAGATGCATCGTCACAGATTCATGCAAGTTGACTGCGGAAATCTATATCGGCTGCCGAGTTAACGCTCTATTGGATTTCCCTTGCCCCCGCGTTGGAATAAAACAAAGCCTACCACAATTACTCCATATATCTCGTAGAAATTCTGTTCTGTCACGGGAGGGATATATAACATTTCCATAAAAAGCCCTGAAGAGGATAGAGGAGAATAGTGTTACGGTCCCTCTTACCTCATACGCCTAGCAGCCTTGAGATGTGTTGGCCAAATTGAGCTTGCATTAGCTCTTCACGCTCATTCGTCCCGAGATCCCAGGGCCATGGCGTACGTCGCAACAGATGACTTTTGCGTCTACCAATAGACGCGGCGCGTTTGTGTTGGTTTTTTTTTTTTTTTCACTCTGAATTTCTGCAGTCCTTTTTTTCCCTTCCATGACCTCGAAAAAAAAAAAAGAAAAGAATGAGAAAAACCCCCCCCAGTCAACATCTGACTGTATTTACCTATCCACTTCTTACATGAAATGGGTACGGTAGCGTTAGACAGTGCAAAACACTTGACACTAAAACAGAAAATGCACGCGATTTCTTCATCTCTTCATCTTTTTATTTATTTTTTAATTTTGATTAACTAATATGTGACCCCCGATCTTGAGCCTATCATCTAAGCGCCCATAAAGAGATAAACAAAGTAGGAAATCGTTTTAATGTCGGGTAACTACTTGATATATGATATTTGTCATTCTTAAATTTCGCCTTGGCGCTAAGATGTAATTTTGAATTACCCCCGTTTCGTAACTTGCAAATACTGAAGCTATACTAACATTGCAAAAAGTTTCCCGTTAAAGTCAAGGAATCGGAGTAGACCGAAGATTGCCACATCTTCAATATCAAATTAAGTGGCAATGTATGAAAATGTTTATATATACGCACGGAGAAGTCTGTCCGGTTCACCGGTTTAATTCTTTTTTTATTATTTTAATTATCTGGGGGTGGAACCGAACCTCTGGAAAAGAAAAGAAAAAATTTAAAAAAAAAGATCCCTGTTAGCCCATGGAGCCTGGTATCCGCGGTACACAGCTATACAGGGGGGCCAAAGGAACACCCAACAGCGACTATTTTGCTTTTCATTTAAGACCGTGTGCTCCAGGCTTCTTTTCTTTTTCTAGAGTTCCGAGATCTATAAACCTTGCCCGCCCACTTATACTTCCCTTTCTGTACTTGTTTGATATATACTCTATATCCCCACTATCAAATTTGGTCAAAGCATTCTGGAAGCTCGGTCTCTATAAAATCTTGAATACATATCCAAAATGGCAGAATACGCAACATTGCCATCGGCACGACAAAGCAAAATGAAAATCGACGCTCTACTGAACCCAGGCGATGGAGATTCCTACGACTCTCCACGCACTCAACACGCTTCAATCCCATCCCATCGTCACAGCTACCACCAGCCCTCGCCAAGCTTCCCCCCAAGCCCAAACTACTGGTACAATCGAAACTACCACGACACCAGCCCAGGCGCACTATCCAACACAACTACAGCAACAACCCAGAGCAGCAGCACAAACGCCAGTCACCACAGCGTAAACCAACCCCAATCCCACCAAATGTTCTTCACATACCGGCCCTCAGCCACCGCCAACCGCGCCAGCGGAAGCACAAACCAAAGCTCTCTCTCGGCACCCTCCTCGCCAGACCCGTACCATTCCCGCGAGCGCTTCTCCAGTGTCTCCAGCTCTTCCTCGACTAACGGCGACCGCCGTCGGCCTCCTCGGCCAAAGTACGAGGAAGAGGAAATGTACTTCATCTGGTACCACCGGGTCGACTTGTGTCAGGAGTGGAAGGAGGTCCGGGAGGCTTTCAATCGCCAGTTTCCGGACCGCCAGAGACGCGGGTTCCAGGGTATTCAATGCAAGTTTTATCGCTTCATCAAGGAGAAGAAGTGTCCTACTCTGCGTGAGCAGAGGCGGATGCGGGATGGGGAATTCTTGAGGGAGGGTGCTACTGCTGCGTTGGCAGGGGATCATGGGTCTGCGCCCAAGTTTGGGGTTAGGGAATATACTAGCGTTTGGTATCCTTGGATGAGGAAGGAGGGGGATCCTGCGTTGCGACGGATCTGAATTTTTCTTTGTTTACGTTCTGGGAGGTCAATTTGTCTTTTTGCGTGGGTCGGTCTTCGTTTTTATTTAAGATACCTCTTGTTCAGCGTGGGAGGTCTGTTGTCTTTTTGATGTTCTCTCTTTTCACCCTCTTCCACTCGGGTTCCTGTCGTTTTCACCTTCACTATAACTTCCCAAGAGGTTGTTTCTGGGTTATATAATATCTACAATACGTTGTATGGAGAAATCCATACCGTGAGAGTCAATATCATTCGGATTAGATCTAGATATTACTAGAGTCGAGGTTGAATTTGAATTTAAAAAATCATTTCTTTCTTTTCCAAGCTTTTACCGGTATGACGAATCACACATGAATCTTTCCATGGCTGAATTTTCATTCTCTCTGCATGACTGTTCAACTTTCTCAAACGATTCCCCTTGCTTTTGTCCTTCCCACTCGCGCATACCAAGCAAATAACCCTTCCAAATCCCGAGAAATGCACATGGTCCTTCCTCACCTTAATATTCGACACAGTCCGGACCTTGTCCAACCTTTCAACCCAGGAAGGATACCCGAAACCGTTGAATTGACCAGTTTGGAATGCATGTTTTTCACATGTACATGCAGCATCAATAATAGTCATTGTGTTATCCCCTAGACAAATTAATCACGTTTCATTCCTCTATATAGCCGGTTACTACAACCGGCCAGACCGTGCTAAGAAAAGAACCTATCCACAGCCCGGCCAATCCGTCCGATCCGTCGATCGTGGGGTCCCCATCCCATGCAATCCTTCATGCCAAGGCGAGTGTACTTCATTTCTGTACTCCGTACTCCGTACGAAGTACGGAATACAGAAGTACTTTGTAAGTATGAAGATCTTGGGTCTTCGGGGCAAAGTGCGTATACGTTTTAGTACTTCCCACTAGAGCTTCCAAGACTGGGGCGACTGGGCATGTTAGGGGCTTAGGCCGAAGGATTGCATTGTTGGCACATAGTACTCCATACTCCGTACTTATGTGCCGTGCCATATAGCTTGGGGGCCAATTGCTTTCGATATTGCGTTCTCTTTTTTCATATTTAGTGAATTGGTAGATAAACGCGTCTAATGGGAACTCAATAAACAATGTACATATATCCGCGGAGTCCGTGATAGTTTACTGTGATGAGTCCAGGCGATAAGGAAAATACCGAATTGACATGTTCCGCTTCGGCATTTGCTTTTATTGCTTTTGTTTTCCTTTTTTAATCTTATCTATTGTCAACCCTTCAAAGATCGAAAAAAAGAACTTGAATTTAAATGGGGCCAATCCTGCCAATTCCTATGGATTCGGGAATTGATCCGCGCAAGCTCCATGAGTTTTACGAAAAGATAAATCCCGATCCGATGTCTCAGCCTCATTTCTCGAGGGTCCGGTTATTTTGGGGGCGTAATAAGGGGGGGCTGATAAATACATTCACGTAAATGTATTGAGAAGAACATGCGAATTGACTAGGCTTTGATATTCAGAGTATAGTACGTATAGAGTATTGCCTTACCGGAGAATGTACTTTGAGGGTATTATATCATCTACACCGTACAATATAGGCAAAGTGTCAAGAGTATGACACAGCCTCCAGTGACACAGGAACCAATTTTCCCAAGGCAACTCTGCAGGACTCTAATACTGCATATGGGGCAACTTGTTTTTCGAAAAGTCCACATGAACATATAGTTCGCACTAAAGTCTGAACTCCACAATGTGTAATTGACCACTCTCTGCCGCGCTGTCGAATATCATCAGCACTAAGACGCAAAGAGCAAGAGGGGCACTACAAATGCCGATATAGTTCGTTTAATCTAAATCTGCCAATTAGATGAGCCTTATTCTTAGGTGTACGGAGTATTACTCCGCAAGTAATTCTTTGCGTCGTGTCGCTTCTTTTAAATTATGGTCTCGGGGATTTTGTTTGTCGAGCATTGAGGTTGTGCGAGGATGTGTAGGGATCTTGTACGATGTCGGGCATCGTCATGGTTGACCTGCATGGCCATGTTGGATTTCTCCTACGACTGTAGCAGCTGCTATATACCGTATATGCGGGCCGCTACAATCTGCCTCTTGTGTTCCCATGGCAGGATTCTCAATTGAATGTCAACTTGAATTTCATTGATTGGGCTATGATAGATAGAATCATGTCCTGACAAGAGAAAGAACCACTAACTTAAAACCCCATCGAAAACAAATAGAAAAGATCATAATCCAGAAGAGTTCCCTTTGGGCTCATCCTCTTCACCGTCATCAAATCAATAGCCATAGCCCTCGGCACGGTTGTGGCCGTCGATGGATATTCAGCTCATACCCATCTACTCCATGATGATGTTAGACAGCATCTGGTTGGGCTCATCAACAAAGTGGAATCCCTCAGCACGAGCGCATCTAGAATAACTGGTCAGTAAAGAAATTGTGTGGGGAAACTATAAACCGAGAACGTACGGGTCAGCTTCGAAGCTGGCAATGCAGTCGTATGCTCCCTCTTTGATGCTTTGCAGGAAGTCCCAACCTCCATGGAGGTCATAGAAGAAGATGTAGACATCAATACCAGACTGGGAAAGACAAATTAGTAGGGACTCAAAAGATAGAACTACTGGCGTGCAAACCTACCTTAGCCTGCTTGATCAGAATGTGATCAAAGCCCTTGCTACTCCAGGCAGGGTCGGCGGCAATGCCCAAGATCTCTTCGTTGTCGCTAGTCTTGAAGCCAGTGGGAAGACCAGAGAGAGAAACAACACGCGACGCACCCTCTTCGACACGCTTCGAAAGCTCAGCGTTGTCCTGCAAACCCTTCTCAGGCATAGTAACCGAAATAGTGAGTTCGCCATCACCATCATTCACCTTGATTCCATCAGAGTGGTTCTCATAATATTTGATGCAGTCGTCTTGCTCAACAAACTGCACGATGACTTCACCATTCTCGCTCCACGCGCGCTCAATAGCACCACCGTAGACAAGGTGCAGAATTCCGGAAATATTAGCCCACTCTGGAAGGTTTCCGAACACAATGCGACGGGGAGGTCCAGTAGGAACGACCTTGGGTGCCGCCTTCTTCTGCAAGTGAAGCAGCCGGACTTGCTTCATAAAATCGGCTGGGGCAGTAACACCTCGGGGCTTGGATGAGCCAGTAGACTCCTCATCTCCGATGGACTCGGCCTTCTGAGATGCCTTGGAACCAGCAGTGAACTCGTTGCCTGCATCATTGCTTCCAGCGCCAGCCTTGGTGGGAGTACCGACAGCCTTTTTGTGCTTAGCGGCGAGGTCCTTGATGAAAACATCATCGGCGGTGTCACGGAGTCCAGCATCTTTCTTGGGTCCAGTAGTGGCCTTTCGGGGAGTACTATTCAGAGGCACATGAGCGACTTCGTCCTTAGGCCCAGCAGACTCGGCAGCAACAGGAACGAAAGGTTCGGCACGTGGGTCAATTCCATGATTCTTCTGCGCGGCAGCAGCAGCGGGGGCAGGGGCAGTAGCAGACTTGTTCTCCTATGAAAGATCAGTGTGAGATAGAAGTAACGAAAATAGATGAGTCTTATTATAGAGAATGACAGAAATCGAAGGGACCCATGAACAAAGCGAGAACAGAGAACGAAGGCGAGTCAAAGAGAGAACATGAACATGCAATGGGAAATGCCAAAGTGTGGATGGAGGAAAGGATGCGACATACCTTTCCGAGAGGCATAGCCTTTTGAATACCCTTTGTACCATAAAGGTTAGGCAAGCCATCAGAGTCACCAAGCTGAGCGCGACGAGTAGTCAGCTGAGCCGACACCGTCTTCACGTCGGCAAGGCGGTTTTTACGAGCTTTGTTACGTACGGCATGCGGAGCATGAATGCTCTCCTCCAGGCTGATCATCTTGCAACTGGAGATGACGTCGTAGATGACTTTGGTGGTAAGCCGAAAATTGGCCTGTCGCTCGATAGAAACTGGGGCAAGACCGTTAGGTCCAATAACAACAGGCTTCGCCATGATGAAATGAGACAGTACCAAGATGGAGGAGGAGAAGAAGAAGGATGAGGAGGAGAAAGAGAAAAGCAAAACAATTTATCAGACAGACGCGCGTAGGTTCGAGTCGGGAAGACAGAGTTGGAAAGGCACGCGTTGATATCGGGTGGCTCCTTCCTGGAGAAAATGTTTATGACTTCTTTTTTCCATCTCCTGAGACTCTCTGTCTTGGTAGATATTCATAGCTCCTACTACAAGGCCAAAAAGAAGACCAAGTCTAAAGCGCCCAGAGTTATTCCCATGGAGCACAGCTCATATGTCTTAATATTTTCAGTTCTATCAGGTCTCTGGAAAGACTCACATTGTTCTCAGCATGTCTAACAAAGAAATCTCCAGACAAACAATGAATTTTTATTGCTCTTCTAGAGACTGCTTGTGCTGTTATGGACCTATTGGTGTTTTAAATGAACTTATCCATCAAACTATACTAGAAGAGTTATGATACCTGCAAGGTCTCTTAGGTCTTTTGATACTGGTAGATTCAGTGATTCTAGTCTCCCGAGTTCAAGTAACCATATGCAATATAAAACTCGATGTAAACGGAGAATGAATTGCTCTTTCGAGTTAGCTTTGCCTTTTCAAGCTTAGCACCTAACCTCTCCCACCCTCGAGGCGCATTCAAACTTATGATCCTATGGCCTCGCCGTTATGGACCAACCTCACATCCATGTTCTTTTGCCTCACAAACCACGCATTGACAATCTCCCATTCTGCGCTAGGATCGTTTAATTCAATCTGACGGGGGCCCTCGTTAGTGACAAATCTCATTTTGGAACCATATTCTCACCTTGTATCTTAGAAATAGCGATGGAATCAACTTATAAATCTCAAGCAGACTGATATTCTTCCCAATGCAAGTCCTTGGCCCAGCCCCGAAAGTGAATGTCGCACGAAGCATCTTCTGCTTTCTGTCCTGGAAATTGGTTTCAGACTCCGTATCCATCTTGAGCCACCGTTCCGGAACAAATGACTCCACATCCTCCCCAAAGACCTGGTGACGGTGGATTATCCACGGATTAGCACCAACTATCGTCCCAGCCGGTAGAAATGGACCATCGGGAAGCTGCAGTCCCTCGGCGGGCACAATTCGCTCAAGCATCAATCCTACAGCCGGGTGAAGGCGTAGTGCTTCTTTAATCACCGCGTCGAGATAAGGGAGTTGCTCTTGACTTTGCTTCCACGAGACAGGTAAAGAGATGCGGTTTTCTTCAAGGGCGACGGTGAGCTCTTGGTGCAGTTTCATACTTGCTCGGGAGTTCTTAAGGGTGTAATAGAGTATTGCTCGGAGAGAAATTGCAGTTGTGTCGGAGCCAGCATTCATATTGCTGATCGTATAGGAAAAGACTTGGTTATCGTTTACAATAGTTGGGTGCTCCTTTTTTGCTTCCAGAAAGCGATCGAGAAAGTCCTTTTGTGTGTTGACCGCTGGTAAGGTGCCTTTCTGGTTCAGCCGCTCGTCTATTCTTGCGCAAGCAAAGCGAGCCACAGCTCCGGTCGAACCCCCTTTGAAAAAACTCCTGAGAGGATTCTTGATGAAAAGGTAGTCAAGCCATGGCATCTGCCCAATCTAATGCCCAATTTAGTTAGCTTTCAAGTTAATTATCTGAGACATCGCAATGCCAACCTTCCCGGCATAGTCAAGCATATGCTCCAATGCGACGATGATTCCGTCGATATCAGTCCCTTTCTCGAGGAACCCCAGTGGTTTACTGAATGTCAATTCTCCAATGACATCAAAGGCATCTGTATGAGTTATATTAGCTCCTGTTCTCATGTCTCTTGGGAAGTTGGGGGGGGGGGGGATAGATTACTTACAGTATTGTAGCCAAGCAGCAATATCACATACTTTTGCTTCAGCCACAAACTCATCCAATCTCCCAAACAAAGTATGAATTGTCTTATCGACAAAAGGCTCGAATTCGGTCAGAGTACTCATTGAGTAAGCTGACGAGATAGGCCTTTTAATAGCAGCATGGAAAGCTTCATCAGTTGTAGTAAATAGTGTAGGTGTCGGTCTGCCTTTGGCAAGCTGCTGCTGGACGCAATAGAAATTTGTCTTGCAAATGTAAGTGTTAAGGTCAACCGGCTCTTCTAATTTGAACCTACCTTTTGATATCCCTTATTGATGCCATATATAGTTTTCAACGCATCCAAATTCCGCACACTGACCACGTTGGGTCCTAGTCGAACATAGTCTCCGTGCTTTTGGTGGAGGCTGTAAAGCGTCACTTCTGCACGACCGTTGGCGACATCGATGAACCTCCAAAGGTTCGTTATCTTAGCTAGTAATGGTCCGGGGATTGATCCTGCCCCTGCTCTGAGGTAATTGCGAGTGAAGTGAAATAAAGCAAGGCTGACAAGGATGGCTGGTAGATGTGACCAGAGTGAGATCAATGCTTCTGAGATGATGGCCATGGTGAAGTCCACAGGTCGAGCACCTTGATACTCTGCAAGTATACTTAATTATTAGGCATACTATTTATACCAAGGTTGAATCTTGTAGGAAATGCGGGGGAAAGGGATAATTCCGCCCTTCTAGCTATCCGCGGAACAGGCCTCGTCTAGAAGAGTTTGCAGTATTAAGACTTCATTCCGATGTGTTTGTTTCAGAGTATAGCTGTAACAGTAGATGAGGGCAACTATATAGGACCGGCGAATGACTATATGCAACTGGCTGGATGTAGAATAGTGGTACAGAATAGTGGTACAGAGGAGTGGGCAGCCGTTTCCGGTCTCAAACGCGGTCATTTTCGTCAAATCCATAGGTCCTCAAGAGGTGTAAACATTGAAAACATTGGTATATTATTCATTTATTTAATGCTCCTAAAGATCTCCCCAACAGAATTATCAATACACCGAAGACACCAAAAGAAAAGCAGATCTATATAACAAGAATGAGTAGAATGGGTATCTGATTGCAGAACATTAAAGCTTCTACGACGGAACAGGAATACTCTCGAATCCTTTCTGCCCGGGCTTACGGTCTTCAACAATGACCTGAAGGCCACGACGACCACAGAAGCCATCATTGCCCGCAACCCGATCAACGACTTTGAAAGAACCGCCATCCTGCGTAGCGTCCGGAACCCACACAGTCTCCTGCACAGTTTGACCGGGGACTTCTGCGCGGCGGGGATTGTCCCAAGGCAGACCGACAAGGTGATTTCCTAGGTTGTGGAGGAACGAGTACAGCCCCTCGAAGCGGCGGGTGACTCCCAACCAAGAGAGGGTGCGGTGGTCATAAGCGGTCCGCACGAACGGGTTCATGTAGATGCCCGTATCGGTGATATCATCGACGTTGGTTGGCGGGTCTTGGATGTCCGCGTGGATGAGGCAGCATTCAGACGCCTCCCAGAAGAGATCTTTTCCGGAGCGGAAGCGTGCTGGGTTGGGGGTTGTAGGCGGCGAACCGGTTTGGAAGTATTTGGCATCAAATGCCACCATTCCGCCCCAACAGCTGCGCACTCGCACTGCGTCTTTACCGGCCAGCACATCGCTTCGGCTCTCGCCTTTGCCGGATGACGTGAACCATGGGTAGAAGGGGAGACCCATGCTGTAACCTTCAAGATCGCGGGTGGCATATGTATCGTAGAATTTGATAGGGTTGTCAAAGTCTACAGCGCAGGCTGCACGGTATTGGGCAACACCGTCTTCATTGGCATTTGTTGAGAATAAGAGCTGAGGGACCTCGGCGGGGTGGAAGAGGATGTCGTTCAGATAGAGTAGTTTATCGAATTTCATCTCCGGGTGGTCGGTCAATGGCTGTAGTGCTCGGTTCCGAACCTGGGCCAGATATTCGATGCGCTTAATTCGCTTTGATCCACCGGGAATGGTCACAGTGGGTATAGTCTTCGGGTCGAGGTGCTTTTCAGATACAATGGATTTCTGGCACTTCACTTGCTCCTCTAACGCGCGCAATGCGCGCTCTCCCTCCTCGCCACTGTCATTCTCGTAGATACTCAGGAACACGTTGTCAGGTCCAAGCAGATCAATCAGCTCCAGCAGTTGCGTTCCCCATTGGCCCTTAGCAAGCTCGCCACCACTATCATACAGACTTGCTGCAATAAAGACCTTTTCCTGGCGGGGATTGCCTCGTCCGGGATATGAGCTCTCGAGTAGTGATTTGCGGAGTGCAGAGTAGTGTGGGGGGAGATGGGTATATGATGGGAAGAGCATTGAGGTGAAAAGCGCAAGGGTGAAAACGATGCCGGCGACGACGGGGAGGTAGCAACAGCGGCGAATACAGAAACGTCGAGAACAACTCGGTCGTGGTGTGCCTGCGAGGGCCGGTCTAGAAGGGTTGTTCAGGCGGCGATAACCCGCTGACGCTGAGGAGATGATTCGGGAGAGCCAGCCGCCCTGGTGTTTTCCAAATTTGGATGAAGAAGGGACTTGTGCTTCAAAATCATCCTCGTCGAGGTTGAATGTCCCCTGCGAGTCAACTGAGGACCGTGAGGCAAGTTCCCATTCATCGGGATGAAGTAGACGTGCAGTCATGGTGGTTTATGTCTCCAAATGGGTATACACCCTTGGGACTATCTTCAATTGCAAATTGACCCAATAAGATGGCACACAGTAGCCATTATCTATGATAGTCAAAAAGCAACTTGTTTGATGATTTTCCCCAGTGCCCCGGGGCCCGCCCCATCGATACCTTACATCATCAACCCAACCACGTGATATCGGGCAAGTATATGATGTACGACATAGAGCTCAAATGTCTCTGCGATTCGATGGATATGATTGTAGATATGAAAATAAAACATTGGAAGTAATAGATCAATGTTTTCTTTCCATATTAACTTCATCATTTGGGTAACCCCAATAGAAAAAGATGTGTAACATGATTTTCCGATGGAAGTTCCGGTATGTAGTGACGTAGCTGAAGTCAGGGCACTGCCTATTTTGTCCAGGTGAAATCATTTATCTTTCCGCTTACTCCCTGTGCTCACTTCGAAATACTCGACCCTTCACTTCAACTCTACCCACTTGTCCAAATATCTGCGGCGTGTTGACTGAACATACTTCAATCTGACATTATACTGCTTCCCCGCATTCCACAGCCCACCATGTCGCAATCACAATTTAAATTCGCCAACTCAGATGTCAAAGTGCCAAGCGATGCCACGGGCACTCCTCCAGCAGAGTTTATCATCAAGGCACCAGCTTCCACAGATGTATGGGCCAAGCCGCCTTCGACCTTTCGCTTCTCAGCCCCTATCTTGTACAAGTCTATCCCGCTGAAGTCATTCAAACGGATCCGTGTCGCCTTTAATGGCCTCTGGGAGAAGAACTATGACCAGGGTGGCGTGATCCTTGTCCTGAATACCGCCGATGGTGGCCAGAAGTGGGTGAAAAGCGGCATTGAACTCACCCACGGCAGACCCCACCTCAGTGTCGTCGCCAAAGACAACTGGGCAGACTGGAGCTTGCTTCCTGTACCCTCAGGTGGTGGTGCAGCAACTCTCGAATTGGTCAAGGAAAAGGACAACAGTTTGTGGATCTATCTTGTTGAGGGTCTGCAGAAGTCTCCTATCCGGGAGGTCACTTGGGTCTTTGAGGAGGAGAATGTGAAGGACTTGTGGGTTGGTCTCTATGCTGCCCGGCCATCAAGTGAGGGTGGAGAGTTGCCTGTCCATTTTGGTGCTTTGATTATAGACCAGGAATAGATCAGCGGGATGTTCTTAGTTGGATGCCCCAATAAGTAGATGGCGATGGCCACTGCCGACAATCATGATATACATATGACGAATAGGATAATTGAAGCAATGAAGTAAAGCAAGAGTACCTACCTTTGTCCATATTTTATATTAGAGCACAGAAGATTCATGATCTGTCTAGGTAGAAATAAAGATACCGGCTTGTTGCGGACATCTCATGGCTCCACTATGTATGTGCCAAAGATGGCCAACATGGCGCAGATCAGCCGATGGGCGGATAGATTCTAGTCAATAAAATTAATTCCCATATTTATTGTTCGGTCTTTGTGATGGATGATCAGCCATGCCGGCGCACTTGTGAATACCAGGTGCATTACTAAGATTAATGATAGTTTGAACACATCTACAAGTACATTGTATTCCTGGATCTTTAACTACAAAATATAGGTATATGGGTTATAGACTTTGGGTCCTGTTCCTGTTTATGTTCTCATTTTGATACCAATGCGATGTTATCCTTTGTAAATTGCCCCGTTAGCGAGCACCAGCCTATACCTTCCCAATCGGAATTATCTGATCCTGCTATACCTAGTACAGTGTAATCCCGACAATCGGGTGTATGCTGCACACGCCCTATTTCGGATGCCGAGGTAACACTAGTCGCGTGTTGATATGACACAAGTGGAGAATTCTAGAGGTTCCTTCCATTTCCTTTCAGCGTTCAAATTCCGTTTCCACTATAATCAAATATTGTACCATAGATGTAAAATGGAAAATGATATAGCGGGTCAACCGGCACCGTCATTCCGATAGTGACATAGTGTTTTTCCTAGATCGGAGTTAATTGGGGTAGCAATGCATGTTGGTGCCAGATAGTGGGGACATTCTTATACTACCTAAGTAAAATTCATCCTTTGATAAAATAGAAAGAACCTCAAAAATGAATATAAAAGAGGATAAAGATCAAAGTTTCATCTTATCTGATGAAATGAACCAGAAAAAAGTGACTTGGCAGTACCAGAGAGTCAGCTCATGCCGAGAGTGAACAAAGGGTATCGGGTACCCCTCCAATTGTAATATTAAATGGTTCTCCGTACTCCACCTTTTTTTCCGATTTTCCTCTTTGACACTTCCCATAACTTTGGAGAAAATACAAACATAGAAAACACCAGGGGATTTCAACATCCCTATTGACTGACTGTGACACTATTGTGTATTGGTGCATCCTGGAATGTTAGAGATGAGCTGAGATCCGACCTCAGCCTCTCACCTCACGTCTCTGCCACAGACCCCATCAACGTGCATAAGTGCGACCGACGATCGGGCTTGGTGTCATTTTGCGCAAAACTCCTAAGACTTGCAGGGCCTAAACTCTTCAAGCACAGCTTCCCCTTACATTTGGGCGTCATCCTCCGAAGCACGGCGGATCTACCCATATCCAGTCTACCCCATAGCTGCCTACCGGATCCTACTTCTTACATACAATAGCCCTTCATGGGTCAAACCCAGGCAAGCGCGCTTCCACGACTTTTTACCTATCGCGCCCCATATTTATTTTCTTCTTGTCTTGTCCGAATCTGGTCTCCGATTCGCTGTTGACATCTCGTGTTGTCGTTTCTTTTTCCCTGTGGACCTGACTGGCTCGGGCTACCTGGCTGAAGAGCGCCCAAAGTACTTGCTAATTAGAGCGTGCTTTCGTCCCTTTTATGTGATACGCCCGCCGCTACTTACGTCTGATGTTGCATGAACTCTTTTTTTTATTTTATGATCTGTTTTCCGCTTAATCGCCGCTTTTAAGATCGCCCTCTTTTGTATATGGTCTCTACCAATCCCAACCCGAACCCTCTTGCTGGTTATTCTTACATGGATGCTGTCCATTAGAGAATATTCCTGTTGAACGTATACGATCTTGTGGTAACGGTGCACCGGTCACCGATATGCCAGTTCTCGATTCACGCTCAGGACCGTCCTACGGCACTATCGAACCCGAAGGCGCCAGAATGGAGGATGAGAGGGATCAACTGTTGCAGGATGACTACGAGGTCGAGGGTCAGTCTAGTGGACTGTCTACACCGGGTGAAATGCAGGAGGGAGTCCAAAAGATCGAAGCCATCAATATGACTTGGACAGCTAAGTCCTTAATGATAGCCTACATCAGGTTCGTGTGGCTTGCAGCCTCGTGCTTTTGCTGACCCCCTGCTGACTTGGCGCTCAGTATATTCCTCATGGCATTCTGCACGTCACTGGAAGGTCAGACTGTAATGTCGCTGTCTGCATATGCGACGAGTGCATTCAGTCAACACTCATTGATCTCGACCGTCCTCGTTATTCAAAATGTGGTCAATGGTGAGAATTTACTACCCCGCTTCAACGCAATGAGCGGCTGCTAATCTTTGATCGATCTCTAGCTGTCATCAAACCCCCTATGGCTAAGATCGCCGACGTATTCGGGCGCTTCGAGGCTTTCTGTTTGAGCATTCTTATATACATGCTGGGATACATTCAAATGGCCGGCTCTACCAACGTCCAGACCTACGCCTCTGCCCAAATCTTCTACTCCGCCGGCTCGACGGGGTTGCAGATCCTCCAACAAGTCTTCATTGCCGACAGCAGTGACTTACTGAACCGTGCCTTCCTCGCCCTTCTACCCCAATTTCCATTCCTGGTTACGGTCTGGCTCGGGCCGACCATTGCGGGCGCGGTGCTGCGCACTAGCTCATGGCGATGGGGTTATGGAATGTGGGCTATCATCTTACCTGCATCATTCTTGCCACTCGCCCTTACACTGCTCTTCAACCAACGCAAGGCCCAGAGATTGAATTTGATCAAAAAACGGACCAGAAGACGGACGAGCTTGGTCAGCGTCATGCGTCGAACCTGGTACGATCTGGACGTGGGCGGACTAACCCTTTTGTCCGCTGCCGTCACATTAATTTTGGTGCCTTTGACTCTTGCGGCCAGCGCAAAGAACGGGTGGAAGAGTGTCAGTATTTTGGTCATGATCGGGCTTGGTTTTGTTTGCCTGTGTCTGTTACCGCTCTGGGAGTCATCACGGAAATTGGCTCCCAAGCCCCTGCTCTCTCTACACCTTTTGAAGCAGAGGACTGCTCTTGCCGGGTGTGCATTGGCGTTTTGGTATTTCAGTAAGTTTGATCATTCGCTCAACCTTCAAGATGTCATTGCTAACCTTACCTAGTGGCTTTCTACTTTTCTGTTCAGCCGTATCTCTATTCCTACCTGCAGGTGGTACAGGGGTATGACGTTGCCACTGCCGGACGCATCACCCAAACCTTTTCTTTCGCCGCAACTATTTCTGCATTTGGTGTCTCAATTCTTATCAAGTATACCCGACGATATCGCATCTATATTACCATCGGATGTGTTGTATACATGACCGGCCTAGCCCTGATGCTCCTGTATCGAAGAGAAGGATCTTCGCACCTCCAAATCCTCGGCACACAAGTCCTAATCGGCATCGGTGGCGGTCTGATTAACGTACCCGTCCAACTGGGCGTCCAAGCATCCGCCAGCCACCAGGAAGTCGCAGCAGCCACTGCGATGTTCCTGACTTCCATGGAAATGGGCGGTGCAGTCGGTGCTGCTATCTCAGGAGCCGTTTGGTCCTCAGCCATCCCACACAAGCTTCTCCGCTACCTCCCCGAGGAAACCAAGGGCCAAGCTGCTGACATATTCGGCAAGCTGACCACCGCTCTGTCGTACCCAATGGGATCTGCAACCCGCATTGCTATCAACCGTGCGTATCAAGAGACCATGAACCGGCTGTTGACGCTGGCTGTCATCGCCACCCTCCCCCTCATCCCGTTGAGCCTTCTCATGGTCAACTACAAACTTGACAAGGTAAGTCGCCAAACAGTGCTTTCTAGTGATCGCTTCTGATTTAATTATAGATGAGCTCTGGTAGTCCCAAACCCCGCGGTGACTCGGCTCCAGTTGAGGCAGAGGCAGAGCCTAGCCCGAATGACAGACACTCCAAACGAACTTAAACCCCAGCACTCCTGTGTGCATTCCACACGACGATTACGATCTTACGACCTGAGCCTTTTTGTGTGGATTCTTCCTGACTTACATTTTGCTATTGCATCTCGATACAAACCAGCAAGTGACATCTTGGTTTGTTTGAGCAAGGTGCAACACATCGATATATACTGTTCACTCGGACTGGACGATCCAGTCCATCATTTGCATTCGGCGTTACTATTTACTTTGTTCATGGGGTTAGACGTATCTAAGGCTGTAACCGTTCAATGGACGCAGGCGGAATACATGTAGGTCAGGCATAATCCGTACATGAAAGCAAACTTCCACCGAAACCAAGTGATTCCGATCCGGCCGGCTTGCCGCTCCAAGACCTTCGGGCTGTAACAGGTTTCCTGCACCTACGGCCCAGTGGGGTCTCACTTCTCTGCAACGGTCAGGAATAGAGTTAATCCCCCTGGCGCGCACACTAGACAAGGTACTTTACATTGGGTTATCCCAGATTCGAATATCCCGGTCTAGTGCAGCCCAAACTTCATCGCGGCCTTATATCCACTGCTATCTGTCACGGGAAGGATTTGGATTTGGATTTGACATTATTTCAAATTTCAGAAGGCCTATCTAAGCCTGGAAATATTGAATTACCGGTCCTTTCTTTTCTTTTTCTCTTTTACCCTCTGTTCCAAGGTTCTCTCCTTCTCTCCCCAGCCCTTATTCGGCTCGTATACCATATCCCCCGGGACCGGGCCCCATAAGCACCACGTCTACCCACGTATATTACCCGTGCATGTACCTGCATATATGCATGCATGCATACCAGATACCGCTACGGGGGTTAGATAGGAATTGAATTTGCCCGGCACCCCTGGCATGTGCATGTGCTTACTGTAAAAGTATACTCTACGGAACCTCGGGGATATGGAGTATGCACACTGGAGCCCTGGAGTACATCGATGCCATGTCAGCCGTCAGCCGTCAGCCATGAGCCTGAGGTCATACTTAGTCAGTAATGTGAGCAAAGGGCCTCGGCCACCCAGTGAAGGGGACAGTTGTGGAGAGACTGGATCTGGATCGTGTTGCCAAGCTGTGATGGGAATAAGCCACTTACGAAGGACGGAGTAGTAATAGTAGTATGGTAGATTAGATTGAACTCCGTACATGAACTAAGTATACCGAGGTATGGATTGTATTTTTCTATTGTATCCATAGACATCACACGTAAAACGGGTTGAAAGGGGGAGATTTAGGGCCGAGAGGAGACCGGGAACCCGTGATGGTGAAACGGGATTGAAATTGGGGGACTTTTTTTCTCAACTTGCTTTTTTTTTTTTTTTTTTTCCCTTTCGTATCACGGGAAAAGGGTGAAAGAAAAGATAGTGACTCGAAAGGGAAAAGGGGGAAAATACTCCGGGGGTAACCTCTCCTTTTGTTCGACACCTAAGAGGCTTATACTTGGTATTATTGGGTTATAGGTGTTAGTCTGATCCAACACTGCCCCCTATAGAAAGTCTAGAAAGAAAATTATGGATCACAGCGCTTAGCCGACAGCGGTTGGCCGTTGATATAGTATTTATAAGAGAGAGATACTTTGATACCGTTCTCTTGGCAAGTGACATCGTTGACAGGAGATATCATATATTATAATATTCAAAATTTTAGATATAAATGTAGAAAGATAAAACTATCTACATTTTCTATTCAAATATCCCCCTTAATACTTTCTAATAAATACATAGGCTAAGAGCTGTACAGACCGTGTATCGAGACTAGCCGTCTAGACTCCATCACTCTGCGGGTTGCCCCATTCAATCCAGACCACAGCTTCTTCCTCCCTTTTTGTCTCCCACACTCTTCTTCTTTAACATTCTTACATCAAGACTTCAAAATAATTCAAAATGGTCGTCGCTACCATCAAGTACGCTATTCCATCCCCCTTCATCCCCTTATTGTCGAGAAACCCCTCCAGATCTCATGGCTAACCCCAATCCAGGTGTGTCGTGGTGGGGGACGGTGCAGTAGGAAAGACCTGTCTGCTCATCTCATACACAACGAACAAGTTTCCTTCGGAATATGTCCCCACCGTCTTTGACAACTATGCCGTGACCGTGATGTAAGTCATCCTTCGCCGAAACCCCGGAGAAAAAAATATTACACGTCAGTCCAGGCTGAAAGAAACACTTCTAATCGATCGCTCTCCCTCAGGATCGGCGATGAGCCCTACACCCTTGGACTGTTCGATACCGCCGGTCAAGAGGATTACGACCGCCTGCGCCCGCTCTCCTACCCGCAGACTGATGTGTTCTTGGTCTGCTTCTCCGTCACCTCACCTGCTTCATTCGAGAACGTCCGCGAAAAGTGGTTCCCCGAAGTCCACCACCACTGCCCCGGCGTTCCCTGCCTGATCGTCGGCACCCAGACTGATTTGCGCGACGACGCCGGAGTGCGGGATAAGCTCGCCCGCCAGAAGATGTCGCCCATCCGCAAGGAAGACGGTGACCGGATGGCCAAGGAACTTGGCGCTGTTAAATACGTCGAGTGTTCTGCCCTGACACAGTATAAGCTGAAGGATGTCTTTGATGAGGTACACCGAATCTTCCAATTTTGCTGCCCGATCTCTCCACACCGCCACTGACCCGCTCTACTTTCTAGGCTATTGTCGCCGCACTCGAGCCTGCGCCCAAGAAGAAGTCAAGGGGCTGCCGCTTGCTGTGAAGTTATCACGGACATATCGCAACAGGCCTGAGTGCGACGGATATGTCGCACTTGGGTTGATGCCTGGTTGACGCGCGCCTCGAAGCAGCTACGATGGAATGAACCTGTTTATTTCTCTTTTTCTACTCTTTCACGTTCTATTGGGCGGCAAATATTTCTGGCTGGACTGGTTTTCTGGGATATCCAATTTCAGCGACAAAAAAAAGGGGGGGGGGGTGTGGTCTTGTATTATGGCTAGCGATGCTATCTTGAAGCGTTCCATATCTACGTTTTCCAGTTGAAAATGGCTTCTGTGCTTTTTTTTATCCCCCTTTCTCTCATTTTGTCTCTGTTCGCATATCCCAGTTCGAGCTCTAACCTCTTTCTCTGCTTCTTTTCTTGCTCCGCCTGGCTGCGTCTGCCATCTTCAACTTGGTTTGGACCCTTTGATACTCGTCTATTCTCACCTTTCACTTTTCCCCCGGTCTTCCTCTCCTTTACGAACTACAGCGACAGCAATTTTGACCTTCTCCCCTTTTGTCGCGTCGGCTATTCTCCCCGCATCTCACCTATTACCTTCTCCGCACCCGACGCTTTCACCTCTTTTGGTTGTCTCTTTCGGCGTTGGACGTCAGGGCGTGTTTTGGCTGTTTTCGTCACTCTCCCCATATCCCCCATATGCCCCTGTGTTTTTGTCCTTATTTACAGCCTTGCGACCACCCGGACTATGAATTTGAGCTTGCTGTCCCGTTCCCTTGCAGATCCGGCTTCTGCGTCTTTTTTGCCTGTGATTTCGCCTTTTATTCCAATCTGATCTACTATCGCCACTACTCTCTATGCGCGCGGTCTTGATACAAGCATCTCTGTTCATGTTCTTTCTGCGTTTGATCTCTTGCAGTCTTGCGAGTTTATGTCTCACTGAAGAGCAGCGTTATTTCTCTTAGAAAGTCGATAGTGGACTCCAATTCAACCAGTTCTATGAAGTCATTTGCCGAGGTCCAAGCCTCTGATATCATACCTCCAGGGGCTAAATGAGCTTAGCTAGGTTTCTACTGTGTCATGACATCACTATAGTTTATACAGCATCAAGAAATCATTCAAAATATACGATGTCATTCATTCTTCGCTTCATTCAACGTGCATCTCGTAGATCTATCCAAAATGATTCAAAGCTCATCCTTAGCCTCCTTCTTCTCAGCTTCCTGCTCCATCCAGCCATACCAACCACCAAGCTCCTCATCAACACCAGACTTAACAATGCTAGTAATAATCTCAAAAGCAACCTGCGCAGCCGCAAGAGCAGTAGTCTCGCCCTTGTTATCATAAGCTGGTGAAACCTCCACAATATCCGCGCCAACAATATTCAACTTCTCCAATCCACGCAGAATTCGAATAAACTCCCGCGTAGTCCAACCACCAGGCTCAGGCGTTCCCGTTCCAGGCGCCGTCGACGGATCCAACACATCAATATCAACAGAAAGATAAACTGGCTGCTCAGGATCAATTCCCGTGCGCGCAAGAATCGTCTCAACAATGCCCATAGGCCCAAGCTCATCGATATCATCCGCATGAATCCGAATAAATCCCTGCTCAGGTCCGGGATTCGTATAATCCCCCGCATCAACACCAGTAAGTCTCGTCCGGAGTCCCGCATGCGCAGATGTAGCATTACAAATCAGTCCCTCCCGACTAGCCTTATGGAAAAATGACCCATGATTAAACTGCGTCTGCTCGGACTGCCAGTACGCGCTGTACCGAACAGGGTTCCATGTGTCCAGGTGCGCATCGAAGTGCACAACCGTGATTGGCTTCTGGTAGATCTGGTGCAGAGCACGCAGCGCCGGCAGCGCAATGCTGTGGTCTCCACCAAGCGTCACGAGCTTGGGGTGCTTGGCGCCGATCCCGCTCGCCTTGGGGGCTTTGTTCACGATGCTGCGTGATCCAAGCTCCAGGAACGCTTCGTACATCTGTCGCTCGGCGAGCCCGTTGTCGAACGGTGTGATGGGGATGTCGCCGCAGTCGGTAATCTTAGCCCAGGATTGGTATGGGTTGATCCCGGCGCGCGTGTTGTAGCTTGTTGCGGCCATTTGGCGCGCGCTCGCGGCGCGGATTGCGCGTGGTCCGAAGCGGGCTCCTTTGGGGTTGTTAGTAACTGCGTCCGTGGGTTTGGTTTGTATGCTGTGTCGGTGGTGGGTAGTGGAGATTGGGAGGGGTTGCTTGCGTACCTGGTCGGTAGCTGACGGCCGTATCGAACGGCGCGCCAATAATGGCAATGTCGTAATGCTCATCGGGCTCGATCAGACACTTGACAGGCTTCAGGTGGGCGAAGCTGGCAATGCCGGAGAAGGACCACTGGAATAGTTACATGTTAGGAATGTTCAAATTCTATCTGGATATTGTTACATCATCATACCTCCTGATCCCACTTCTTAAGTAATTCCGCCCGTTCATGTTCGGGCACTACCTCGCCGTTATCGTGGTGCGCGCAGGAGGCCGCGGAACCGGCCAAAGCCAGTGTAAGGAAGGTTTTCCAAGCAGGCATGACTAGAATGATTGGGATGAAGTAAAAGGAAGGATGGGAATGAAGATATTTTATTCTACATATTGTCTCGTCAAGTTTCCTGAAGCAGCGATGTTGTAAAGGGAAAGACGAGCAGATAAGGTGTGCCCATCGTGCAGACTTTCCCTTCTTGGCTTTGGCCCGCTTTTCGGTTTTCTTTCCTTTTGACACTCCTCTGATAGCTTTTATACAAAGCTATCAACGATGCAATGCGGCGAGTTGTTGTAACCGGTCTTGGGGCAGTAACACCGCTAGGTGTAGGTGAGTTGTTTCTTTCTTTCTTTTTTTTTTTTTTTTTTTTGGGTTTGTTATGTTTTGATAGTTCCAAGGACGACCTTGGAGCTCACCTGGGAATGTTATCGGATACTATGCATGTGATTCTGCAATTCTGCAATTCTGTGTGTTAGCAAGGCAATTGCTGCCACGCTCTACCCATTTCTGGTTATCCGAGAGCTCATGCGTGATATCCAATATCCCCGGACCCCGGGCTCTCGAGCTCCCTCTACGTCCCCACTTCCCACTCCGGAAGGGGAAGGTTGTGACAGCCAATGACGGAGGGCATGTGGACTAGTGCGGGACACTTGGAGATAAGAAACAGTACCCGCCGTATACATACTGGGTTTACTATACGCGCTTGATCGTACTTTGGTTGGAATCTGTGAATGCTACTGTGACTGACACCTTGCTTGGCTGCAGGGATTCGGCGTACATGGAAACGCATACTAGATGGTCATTGCGGTGTTGTTAATGTGAAAGATCGCGATGAGCGCTTTGCTGAACAGCCCTGTCAGGTTGCTGCTGTTGTGCCAGAGGGCAGTCGTGAAAATGGGGGGTGGACTGCCTCAGAATGGTTGAGTCGGGGTGTAAGTAAAAATTTTCAACTATTCTCACTTCGCGATTTGTATTCTATTTGCAATGCTGACAGTTTGGGATAGGAAGAACGGAAGATGGCCAAGTTTGCGCAGTATGCCATGGCAGCGACGGAAGAGGCGCTTCAGGATGCGAACTGGAAGCCTGAGCCTTTTGAGCAAAGGGAGGCGACGGTATGTGTGGGAATATGTGCTGATTTGACGGCTATACTAACCAGTTTGATAGGGAGTCTGCCTGGGGTCAGGCATTGGGAACTTCGATGAAATTTACAACACAGTCATAGCCTACGACAGGGGGGTGAGGTTCTTCTATCATACATGGTCTATGGAAACCTTCAGCTAACTTGTTGCACAGGGCTACAAGAAGGTCAATCCACTATTCGTGCCAAAGCTGCTGATCAACCTTGGCGCTGGGCATATTTCCATGAAGTACGGGTTCATGGGCCCGAGTCATTCCGCGACAACGGCTTGCACGACTGGTGCCCATTCCATTGGCGATGCAGCTCGATTCATTGCCTGTGGTGATGCAGATGTGATGGTCGCTGGTGGCGCCGAGTCCTGCATCCATCCTTTGGCCATTGGCGGCTTTGCGCGTGCCAGAAGTCTAGCGACAGGATTCAACGACAATCCAGAGAAGGCTTCACGGCCGTTTGATGCCGACCGTGTAGGCTTTGTGGTTGGTGAAGGAGCAGCTGTGATGATTCTCGAGGTATGTATACTGCCTCTTATTCACGTACCACAACCTGATACTAATGCCTGAAATATAGGAGCTAGAACATGCTCTCGCAAGAGGGGCGCGGATCTATGCAGAACTCAAAGGATATGGCTGCTCCAGCGATGCACACCATATGACCTCGCCTAAGGAAAACGGTGAAGGTGCATTCATGGCCATGAAAAAGGCGCTTAAGCAAGCCCAGTTACGCCCTTCTGCAGTTGACTATGTCAATGCACATGCAACTTCGACCATTGTGGGCGATGCTGCTGAAAACGCTGCTATCAAGGCACTTCTTCTTGGTCCCGATGGCAAAGATAAGGCTGCCGATGTGAACGTTAGCAGCACAAAAGGTGCTCTCGGTCATCTGCTTGGCGGTGCTGGTGCTATAGAAGCTTTGATCAGTGTACTTGCAATTCATGAGGTGAGTTGCAGTTTTGCGTTAGACATACTGTGTCAGGGTTTATGCTAACAAGGAACAGAATACCATGCCCCCTACTATCAATCTAGACCGCTTGGCTGATGGGTTTGATTGCAACTATGCGCCAAAAGATCCCCAATCACGACAGATCGATGTGGCCTTGACAAATAGTTTTGGCTTCGGTGGTACAAACAGTAGCCTTTGCTTTGCAAATTATTCATGATCTTTGTTTCTAAGATATGATATTGTATGATACTTTTGTTGAAACTACTATGTGATTTTAGGGCCAGAAGCTTGGCATGTACTGATTTGACTAGAACTTCGAATCGCTGTGATTGATCTGATTGATCTGATTGACCAACAATGTACTATTCTCGAAAGATTGAATGAAAGAACATCAATGCCCCTACCCATTGACCATTTTCAATAATAAACTGAAAATGTTATGCTCAAAGCACAATAGAGGCCAAAATGCCGATTCAATAGATAGATGGCACGTGATTAATCCTACTGCGGAGCCCCAGCCCGACCTTGACTCCGGAGACTGAACTCATTCCTTAATAACCTCTCACCCACGCCATTTCAAAGGCTTTCCGAGTGATAAGAAACCGTTCTGTCTCTCGCTACTCTTTCAGTTTGCGCTCACCATGGCGAACAGTGGTGACCCCGGTCGAGGTACGCAATGCCTTGTTCCTGTTAAAAGCGCAAGAGGCTTAGGATACTTTGACACCAAGCTCGGCGCATATGAAATTAATAAACGATCTGAGCTAATTCTATGTTTTTTTGGCAGGACCGGGAAGTCTGGTTGATGCTTCCGGGTACGCCTTCACAGACAAGGATACCAAACCCGGCAAGATCAAGGTGAAGAAGACGGCCAAGGCATCCACCAAGAAGAAGGCAGACGGTACAGCTCCCCGGACATGTTTCCACGGGCATTGATTATACTAACAAGCAAATAGAAGCCAAAGATGGTCCTATTGATACCTCCCCTACCGCCTCTCCCCTCCCCACCCTCGACAGCAAAGTCGTCTCCGTGTTCCCGACCGGCAAGCCGCGCGAAGATGACCTCCTTGAGACCGTCATCTGCAAGCATTGCAAGCGGCCCACTCTTAAGCAAACCGCAGCGGATCATGTCCGCGGCTGCTTGAAAGCCAAACAGGAGAAGGCGCGCAAGAAGAAGGAAGCCCGCGATGCGGCCAATCGCCTGAAGGCCGGCGACGATCGAGACGATGACGGTCCCGACAAGGCCGACGGAGACAACCCCAACATGGGCCAGAAGAGCGCCAAGAAGAGCGCTACCAAGGGCACCGAGGACGGCAACAAGAAGGGCAAGAAGCGCAAGGCCGATGAGGACGACGGAAAGGAGTCAAAGAAAAAGAAGAAGAAGGACGAGCCCAAGCAAAAGACGGCCAAGCCGAAAGGTCCTGTCGATGTCGAAAAGCAGTGTGGTGTTACTCTTCCCAACGGCGCGCAGTGCGCTCGTTCATTGACCTGCAAGAGCCACTCAATGGGTGCCAAGCGCTCGGTTCCTGGTCGGACACTGCCGTATGATATGCTTCTCCAGCAGTATCAGAAGAAGAACCAGGCTCGCCAGCAGAGTAAGCTTACTATTATCTTATTCATGCTCACTATAGATCACGAGATGACTAACCCCTTCGAACTACAGAGGCTGCTATCGATGCCAACGCTCCTCTGCAAGAAGATATCGAGAACACAGGTCCTATTGACTCAGACGAAGAAAGAGATGCCGTCATGGCCGCCATTGCCCGTTCTGCGCCCCAGCCTCTTGTTCGCCATCCCATCATCACCACCAAGTCGAAATACCGATACGTCCGCATCAAGGAGCAGATGTCGCATGCCATGGGAGTTCGGAATGGCGGTGGTCTTTTCTCCAACGACGACAGCCAACCCCTTTTCGGTGGCATTCTTTTTTCGACTGTCGCGGCCGATTTGGACTCATCGTCCCTTGACGCCAATGGGGAGTCTGATATCTCTGCTGGTGGAATGGATGCAGGCAAGAGATCCGCTGTTCCAGGTGGCCGCAAAACTCCGGTCACTTCAGCTTGATTGATGTCAGTTGATGTCCGCATATCAGGCGATGATTTATGACTCTCTTTTCGTTTGCGGTTGGGTTTGAGCTTTTACTGCCTGTACTGAATACTGGATGCTGGCGTTCATGGGTGCAGGAGGACTACTGACCATCGCACTATTCTTCTTCGATTTCCTCACATCTTTCTCGTTCTTCGATTTCCCTGGATAGGCCATGGGTACAGGCTGGTTCTGTCTGCTTTGAAAGGTGACGATATGATACCCCGGCTGGCGTGATATGTACATTTGAAGTTTCGAAAGTAGTTGCAATTGAATACTTTCCACCTTATCTAGTTCTGACTGAGACATCTGTAAGCATACATCCTATCTAAATTCATGTAGGACATTCCAATAGATTCACTATGCAAGATCACCTAGCACTGTAGTGACCTCCAGGGCTCCCTCGGTGGGAAGCTATTCAGATTACGTGATGTGCGCCTGAGGCATCAGCACATCTCTCAGTTCATTCTGTTCGCCGATCATCTATTGTCTTTGAAACGTGACGGCATGAGCAAAGCAAGCCATCTTATGACCCTTGGGTGATTTTCTTTATTCGTTTTCTTCGTGGTCACCTGCAGCTGAAAAGCGCCTGGTTTATATTGTCGCGATTGCGGGCGAGCGCCCTCGCATTTGCTATCACTCCACCACCAAGCTCTCCCGAGTCTTATTGATCGCATCTTGACCCCTCTCCCAACTCTTGAGGGAAGTCCGATCCCTACAGACTCATTCCTGAGACGCTTATACTACCAAAACGCGCCCCTCTGAACCTTCGAGCCTTCACAATGAGCCACGCTGTCCCCGATCTAGACGCGATAGGCATCAAAGCCGACCATGACCTAGCTGATCAATTCCGTCGCGAAGTCGCCAAACTCCTCGGGCGCAACAATCTCAACTTCCCTGGAGCACAGCCGGTCAGCTTCGCTTCACGCCACCTCGGCGAGCTACAACGGGAGGACTACTTTGTCTGCGAAAAGACCGACGGCATCCGCTGCCTGATGTACTTTGCGCGCGGAGATCCCGACTCCGACATGCCGGAGATTCACTACCTGATCGATCGCAAGAACGACTACCGCTACGTACCCGGTCTGCACTTCCCCCTGCCGAACGACGAAAGTTTCCAAGGTTACCACGTCGACACCCTGGTTGACGGCGAGCTTGTCAACGACACCTACGAAGATGGAACCACCCAGATGAAATATCTGGTCTTCGACTGTCTCGTACTGGACGGACAAAGCTTGATGCACCGTACCCTGGACAAGCGGCTGGCGTACTTCAAGGAAAAGGTGCTCAGGCCATACAATGCCATGTACCGCAAATTCCCGGAGGAGAAAAATCACCGCCCCTTCGCAGTTGAGGACAAATCTACGCAATTCAGTTACGGCATCGAGATGATGTTCCGCGAAATTATCCCCAAGGTCAAGCGCATTCACGGTAACGACGGTCTCATCTTTACTTGCCGCAGTACTCCGTACCGCATCGGCACCGACGAACACATCCTCAAGTGGAAGCCGCCCCAAGAGAACACTGTTGATTTCCGTATGCGCCTCGAATTTCCGACGCTGGAGCCAGATACTGAGGATGAGGCTGAGGGCATCACCCAGCCATACGTGGACTACGACGCTATCCCGATCTGCCACTTGTTCGTCATGCTCAATGCTGGCGAGTACCGTCTTTTTGGAGAGATGTTCCTTGAGCCGAAGGAGTGGGAAGATCTCAAAGCCATGGGCATTCCTCTTGATGACACTATCGTTGAGTGTGCCAAAGACAATGAAGGACGCTGGCGCTTCCATCGTATTCGTGATGACAAGAACGATGCAAACCACGTCTCCACTGTTGAAAAAGTTCTTGAAAGTATCGAGGACCGTGTCACTGAAGACGATCTCATTCGCCTTGCTCCCATCATCAAAACAGCTTGGAAGCAGCGCCAGCACAATATGGCTGCTGGGGACGAGGAGAAAAAACGGAGAGCGCAGGCTATGCCACCCTCCGCGAATGCGAATGGTGTCAAGCGGAAGTTTGAAGGGTGATTGGAAAGACGTATAGTCTTTTGACTGAGACATATGGCTTCTTTCACGGCTGCTCTTCGTCTCTGATTCATTGCAAGGCGCGTGGCGTTGGTTTGGGCTTTGTATTTTATTTACAAGATCATAGCATGGCAACATGGAAGGGGATGCAAATCCCGAAAACAGGAGACGGTGTTTGTGGCATTATCATTTGGATTGTTTCAAGCAATGAAAGAATTTACCCTCTTGTAATGTAGTCTTTTAAATCTTCAGCTGGAAAATATATCCAAGTCTGTATAGCACCACCCGATGCGGAACAGCTTACATAACAATCTCCCAGTTTGCTCCCTTTCCCGCATCATTTCCCCATCACCAAATGACCACAGTATCTGCTCGATTCCATCATTCCCATCTCTGATATTGCTTCAGTCCCTACTGCCAGTCCAACAAGATGGGCGTCCGAGATTCCCACGGGGAGACGACGGGGACGCCCGACCCCGTTGATAGGGGGTTCGCCACACTCAACACCATCAGGTATGTCGCTTTTTATGTCTAGAATAATTAGCCTTGGGCTTTTTAGGTATACTTTCATCGGTCGCAGATGCTAACTGACTTCATAGAATCGGTGTGAAGGCCATGGTGCAGAAGGTTCGTCTTAACCCTGTGGTCGCAGATTTTTGTGGTCCTGTCACGTGATTATCAATCAGCGTGGTCGACCCCAATTCGGCTTTGATACTGACTATTCTTATAGGATGGAGAACTGCGAAAGGCTGAGATTCTGTCAATTCGGCAGCGGAAGGATGGCCCTTCATTTTAGTATGTTTTGCCTCTGTTTATATCATGTCTGTGCTTTGAATTGGTGCTGATATAGATCCCAGCGTACACTATGTCGATTTCAACAAGCGTCTTGATGGTAATTTCCCACTCCAGCATTGGATCACCTTGAACTTTTTCTGACTTACTTTTCTAGAATGGGTTGCGTCTTCTCGCATCGATCTCTCCCAAGAAGTTGAATGGCCACAGCCAGAAAAGGCTGATAAAAAGAAGACCGCTGCTGCTAGCAAAGCGGCGCCTAGCAAGAATGTGACTGCTAATAAGCGTGCCCGGGCTGACAGCCGGGATTTGTCACAAACACCCGATATCCTGGGGGGCAAGAACGTGAATGTCGGCAAGGTATCACGGCCCTCGAAGGCTGGAGGGAAAGAAAACCTCGGTGTCGATACACCTGGAGGAGACACATCGATGTTCCCATCTGAGGCTGTGTCAACAGTCGGCACGCCGAAGGCCACTGAGTCAGAAGACTTTGAGATGGCAGATGCTGCAGCGGAAAGCAAATCGGTAAAAGAAGATCAAGTCCAAACGGCAACAGGCGAGGTGATTACACGCGGAGAGGAAATCGAGCGACTTCGTACAGGTGGTAGTATGACACAGAACCCGACAGAGATCCATCGCGTACGAAACTTGACCCGCCTCCAGATGGGCAAGTATGACGTCGAGCCGTGGTACTTCTCGCCGTACCCGGATTCCTTCTCGGACGTCGACTTAGTCTATATCGACGAGTTCTGCCTCAGCTACTTCGACAACAAGCGGGCATTCGAGCGTCATCGCGCAAAATGTACCTTGACCCACCCACCCGGTAACGAGATCTACCGCGACGACTACATCTCCTTCTTTGAAGTCGACGGCCGTCGCCAGCGCACTTGGTGCCGGAACTTGTGTCTCCTGAGCAAGCTCTTCCTCGACCACAAGACTCTTTACTACGACGTTGACCCGTTCCTGTTCTACTGCATGACCACCCGCGATGAGACCGGCTGCCATTTCGTTGGCTACTTCTCCAAGGAGAAGGACTCTGCTGAAGGGTATAACCTGGCGTGTATTATGACTTTACCGCAATACCAACGCCGCGGTTTCGGCCGTCTGCTCATCTCGTTCAGCTACGAGCTCAGCAAACGCGAAGGCAAGCTCGGCTCCCCCGAGAAGCCACTCAGTGATCTCGGTCTACTTGGTTATCGACAGTACTGGCGCGAGACGCTAGTGGATTTACTGATCGAGCCAAACCGAGAAGCTATTAGCGAGAACGAGCTCGCGGTGCTCACTTCCATGACTGAGAAGGATGTTCACGAGACTCTGGTTGTATTCAACATGCTCCGATACCACGTAAGTTTGATATTCCAAGTGTGCACTACACTGCAATACATACGATAAGGTATGATTTACTAACTCCTTTGCAGAAGGGTAATTGGGTCATTGTACTCACGGACCACGTCGTGGAGGAGCACGAAAAGCGTCTCAAGAAGGAGGAGATCAAGGGCGCGCGCAAAATCGATCCTGCCCGTCTCCAGTGGAAGCCTCCTGTCTTTGCTGCTTCCAGCCGGACCTGGAACTGGTGACGTTCCTGCTCACTTTTCTTTTGTTCAATTTTTTGCGAGCTGTTTTTAATATGCGTGGCTATCTAATGGATGTTCCGGCTTGGTCTGGGGGCGTTATGCATGTCAAAACCATGGTCATCTGCGGACGTGTGGTTATCAAGATTCCACCATGTCTGCGTTGGTTCGGTTGTTTTTGACATTACGGTCGATATGGGCGGCGTATTCGAAGGACAAGGCGTTTATCTTGAGCCTTATAAGGGCTTTCCTCGGTTGATACCTATCATTTGTGTAAATTATTTGACTATGTTCTGTTTCATGCTTGTTTCTGAGCCTGTTTTTCTAATTAAAAGCCTTTCCTTGCTCGGAAATTAAAGTCCTTCCAGGTCTCCATATCTGTCTCAACAGTACATTGAGTATACGATCCAAGCCATACATATAAAACAGCCCAATAAGACGCTGTTCGAATGGACCACCCCTTCCAATCTAAACAATTCCATATTTCCGTACTTAGCGTGGGTATAATGTATGCGACACCCATATATCACCGCAATCCTCCACGGTAGTCCCGTAGAAAGACCAAGTATCCCATCTACAGCATAGATCTCTCCCCTGGCGCCTAAAGAGACTGCCTTTCGAGCTCGGATTTGTTTGCAGAAATCGGCGAAGAGCGTGGTTCAAGCCAAGAGTCTGGTGACTTCATGGGCATGGCAGTTCGGTGTTATGGATCGATAGGTTCGAAGGAATAGAGCAGTCGACCTCAAGGCTACAGGACGTGTCCAGGTCGCATGTTCTCGTCACGGTCTCGGATGCGTGCTTCTTTTATTGTAACCTGTGAACTAAATTTAGCCCATGGCCTAAACAAGGCATTCGTTGAGGTCTTAGTTATGATCCTCCCAAAGGCTTTCACTTGGGCAGTTTCGCTAGAATGAATCCTAGTGATCAGGTCGCAACATCTAGAGAGCAGGATGGTTAGGGTTTGATGGGGGATTTGGCAGGTGAAAGTGTGATGTGGACAACGTTGTCGCCTCTTCGGTGGATTTGCTTGGAATTGATCACTCTGTGGAAGTAGTAGCTTGATGGAGCATACAAGTTTTAGGAAATTCAAGTTGTTAAAGTTGTTACGAGGCAGCTACACGGATCACACAGTAGCAAACCCTCTCTAACTATCTTGAGGACTGGAAATTACGTTTACAGCAGACAAAGAGACTGAACTTTGTAACAATGGAATTCTCTTGGTAAGTATCGGTGCGGATTTGGCTGAATACTCGGCAACATGAGGCAATGTGATACTGCTAGGTCAGAACAAGCATGCACCACTCGGGCAATGATCACGCAGACAGGACGTTGAATATGTAGATGACGGTCATCCACACATCAAAAGCCAAAAGAAAGGCCGGGGTCCTGAATGGGTCGGGGGGAGACACATAGGGGAGAAAACGAAAATCACAATTACATGAGAAACGCGAATGCGTGAAGAGGGTAGAGGAGGATCTGCATTGTGGCCCAACTGCAGAAAAGTGCAACGAAGTAGGCAATGGCAACAAAGGTCGTGAAAACAGATGTTGATTAGGAGTTAGCGAGAATGGCCCAAGTTCTCGCCTCCCGGGCAAGATGAACCAGAACGAAAATACCGAAAACGCTTGAAGATAATCCATATGCTTGTGGGAACGGAGACTTCTTAACGAGAAGTGGGGGGTTCGGGGCTCCAGCCCGACCGCTGGCGCGGTTGTTGTCGTGAGACGGTGTTAGGGGTAGGCTTCTTAGACCCACCAGAAACATCGCCGGACTTGTTGATTCCCTTGCGAGGTCTGGCATTGATATTTGTGTTGGTATTGGTATTGCGGCCTCGAGTCGGACCAGCCTTGCGTTGAATCAAGAAACCTTTAGGTTCAGAGCCACCTGGAAGGAACACCGAAGCACGAGTGTTGCCATGATTGTCGCGATCATTGTGTCCAACCAGGAACGGTTGAATGCTCTGGGCCTGCACCGGCTTGAAACTCTTTCCACGGGATCGCTCTGAAGGACGAGATGCGCTCCAAGAATTCTGGGGTGCCATATTTGGCACACGGACAGCAGGCAGAGACCCAGGTTCGCGGTCTTCGAACATCTCGTCCTGTTCATTGACTTGTCGAACGGCCAAATCGCCATCTCCAGACTGGGAGATGATCTTGGTCTGGGGAATAGAGACAGAGACGGGAGCTGCATGAACCGGAAGAGGCTCCTTGGTAGCTGATGTCACAGCTAAGACACTCTTCTTCTGAGTAGGAGTGGTCTTGCCAAAGAGACCATTAATCTTGTCCTGCCACGACAGCGCAGTCGAAGAAGGAGGGCCCACGTGACGCGGCGGTGCAGCTGCCATAGAAGCAAATGTCGGCGGGGGAGCCGGGGCACCAATGGCCTTAGGAGGCAGCTTGACAACGGGCTTGGGAGGCTTGGGGGTCGGAAGGTTAACGTGGGGCCGGCTGGAGTCTCCGGAGTACACAGGATGAGTTGTAACTTCTTCTGGAGGGGGAGGCGAAGGACTGCTACGCCCCTTCTCGGCGACCTGGCGCTTCGACTGTTCGGATACCGGAGGGAAAAATCGAGAGCTCCGCGTGGGAACATTGCCGGTTGAACGAACACCAATGTCAGACACGTTCAGGCCATCCATAGGAGTATCAAGGCTCGTAAGTGGATTGGATTGCTGGTTGGCAGCTGCTGCCTTAGCCTTGGCGATGTCTTCGTCGTTGTTGACAACCCTTTCAGTGACCTGTGTGACGACTCGTCTGCCATCTTCAGTGGCACGTGTCTTCTTCCAGGTTTCACTGAATACAACAGGCGCGGGTGGCGGGGCTGGGGCTCCCTTCTGTCTGTCGTGGAGTCTCTTGAGGAACTCTTTGGCGTTCTGTGATTCCTTCTCCAGGGCGTTCTCATGGAAATTATTCCAATCATTAATCGAACGAGAATTCCGGTTGGTCGGTGGGCCAATTGGGCTGGGGCGTCCAATTGGGTTGAGAGGGTCAAATGAGGGGTGGCGTGCCTCAGGTGATGGCAAGGAATCGGTTGGCTCCTTAGGAGCTGAGAACTTGGGAGGGGTAGGCATATTTGACGAATCCATGCCGAGTTGGCCTAGAGGGTTTTCACGTGATGTAAAAGTCCCCAGAGGTTGGTCAAAGATACCGTTACCGAGAGTCGGAGTGCGGTCACTGCCAAAGGGTTTCCACAGATTTTTGGCGGATGTGGAAGGCACAGCAATATTGGGATGGGACCAGGGTGAAGTCGAAGTTAAATTGCCTTGCCACTGAGTCCCGTGCTCGTCAAGCTTGGTATCAGATGCCTTGCTCTGGACGGGTGAGTGGGGTTCAGTCTTGAGGTGGGAGGTAGATGAAGGTGCAGAGTCACGATGGGGATCTTGGTGGGGTGATGAGACACGTCGGTTGAGATGTTTGCTCTCAGATGTACGATCATGCGCACCAACGAGTTTCTTGACAGAGTCGGGATGATGCACTTTCATCATACCATACTGTTTCGGTTCCCGATTGGGTTCTGGAACAGGAGGTTTGGGGGGTGAAGAAATAGTATGGATGGGTGGATGAGGAAGTTGGGAAGGGGTTTGAGGAGGATGAAGAGAGTGAGGGTGAGGGTGAGGTTGAGGATGAGGTTGAGATTGAAGAGAGGGGGGTTGCGCGTTTCGGGGGTTTTCTTCTCTGGCGCAGGACCCATCGCCGCGAGACGTTGCCTAATCCTCTCCTTTTTAGCTGCTTCCTCTTTCTCCTCCTGCTCAATTCTTCGTTGCCTCGCCTCTAGCCGTTTCTCTTTCATAATACGCTCTTGTAAAGCAACAGGGTCCTCCTGAGGTTCTTGCGGAACCTGAGGAACCTGAGGAACCACTGGTGTTTCCACAGGAGACATACCTACATCAACGGCTGGACGGGCTGTGCCATTTGGACCAGACAGAGTAATTTCGTCTTTGCCATGGTGCTGCTCGTGACCCACTATTGCTGAATCACCCAGGCCGTTCACTTGAGAACCTCTTCGAGCATCATTGTATCTGGGAGGGGCATCAAATCGGCCAACCGACATCCTACGGTCAAACCCTCCGCTTCCTCCGCTCACGTTCGATGATGTGCGACGACGACCACCCCAGCCCATACCATCCTGATGACTAGATCTGTGCGTCTGGAAGGCAGCAGATGGCTCTGCCGGGCCACTTGGATGATCGTTCGGCCTCTGCAAAACCGCAGGAGCACGGGGGTGTTGGTCATGCCGCCAAGATCCTCTCCTGGTTTCTGCCACCGGCTCGTACTGGGAAGATCGAGGATTGAAAAGTTGAGGCAAATCCGACTGGTCTTTCCATGCACGGTTGAAGTCATCCGCTGCAATCTCCTTGGGTGGCATTGACATTGGGCCATGGTGGCCGTCATCTCTCGGGGGGTATCTCACGGGCATACGCTGTTGGTGAGGCTGAGCTGGGGCAATGACTGGAGACACTCTTTCGACGGGAGGTAGAGCGGCCCAAGGAGACTTGGATGGCGGGGCTGGGCTGGTAGAGCTAGATGGAACTTTGTCATTTGTGCCGTTAGAAGAAGCACTCGCGGTTCTCGCTTGCCGTTCAGCGTTCGCTCCCACTTTGAGGACCATAGCACGAGAACCCATTGATATAGTTGGCTTCGGCGCAACCTTGGGGGTTCCTTCACGATGCTTGGCTCTACAGGCGGTAGCTCTTTGGGCTCCCGGTGGCTAGGAGCCGGCGGGGGTTCAGTGTGATGTTGAGTGAGATTGACCTTAGTTCCATCTGTCCACTCAATCGTCTCAGGGGCCCAATCGTCTTCATCATCATCAATATCCGCCCATTTTGCTTCAGAGCTAACAGCCCCATCTTCTTGGATACGAGAAGTCATATGAATCCCGTATTGTTGTTTCAATTCCTCGTCAGTCAAGTGCTTCGGAGGAGCGGGCACAACAGCTACACAGATATCAATGTCAGTTTAAAGAATTCCACCCCATCGCATGACCAATACATACGTCTGTTTTTATTCCATACTTGATTTGGATCAGGCCCTGATCCACCAGGCTTGCCTCCGCCTGCTCCAGTCTTCGAAAAGGAATCACGCATGCCGAGTGTAGTCTTCGCAACCAAGCGCGGTCGGGAGCTTGGCTGTGGGGTACCGAGTGGTGTTGTAGAAGTTGGCACTGGGCTAGTTAGAATCAACTATGAGAGAAGTTTGAGAAAGAACATACCTTTCTCCGGCACCTTGGGTGGTGTTGGGGCCCCCGGCACCTTGTTTACCGAGAACTTGGCAAATGAAACTGGCTTGAAACCTGCTGGCTTTTTGACTGAGCCACTATGGGTGGGATTCTTGCCATCTGATCGGCTCGCATCCGATTCCGAACCACCTTGTGATGCTGTGTCGTCTCCGCCATCCGATGCTGAGGCCAGTCCATTAAGTTCAAGAACTCGAGTCGCAACAACTCCGGCGCCCTGTTTAGAAGTATCCTGTGTCCATATTAGCAAAGTGCTTTGCAGTCCATCCAGAAGCAATGCTCACCATCGTGGAACCTTCGGCGTTCTTGTCACCGGCGGCACTTTCCCCCGTGAATCAAGAGTGTTCGCTTTCTCGTGATTTTGCTGATCATTCAAGTTTGAGTTGTTCGATGTAGCGGTGGTCATTGCGATATGTTCGGTCTTCCCTGCGTCCCCTCCAGCAGATAGATTGTCGTTGGTGCTCGCAGGAACGTCGGAAGGCGAAGGCTCGCCGCCCGACAGGGTCTGATCTACCACATCGCGGTTGCTCTGCTCTGCCATAACAATACTCGATTCTGTTCCATACAATAATTGCGACCATGTCAGCCAAGTACCCTGACAGTGGGGGAGTAGATCCGGGGACATAATAGGCAGTCGCAGATCAAACATGCCAGATTCCCAAGAAGACATACCTATCGTCAGATACCAAGGATCGCCACAGTTGCACTGGTTCCTTGACTGGTTGCACCCTGAATATTTGGGATATTACAACCAGGGATGGGGTCAACTCTCTCGGGTGTTGATGAGAAAGCCCGTGTCAAGTTGGGCTCGGTGTGGAGAGCACGATCGCGGAATCGATAGGCGCGTGTGTCTTGGGAAATCCGCAGCCCAGGAGGTCCCAGAAAGGGATTAGGGTAAAGAGGGAGGGAGTATGCGTAAGGACGGTTGATGATACAAAGATAGGGAGATGATACGAGATTCAAGAGTCAACTCGGGTTGAAGCTGAGGGTCGCTGCTTTCGGTTTAGCGTGGCCCGTACGAAAGTTGTGAGGTCTGCCCACACACCTTTTGAATCTCTTCGAAAGCCCTAGTTTTTTGATCTTTTGATCAGTTTAAGCAGTGATTTTGTTAGATGCTGTCGTTGCTTGCAAATCAGAATTCCCAGGGATTTCTGGATATCTGGTGTGAAGTTCATGTGATGAAAAAAACTGTGGAAAGAGCCTGTCACTCAAGCTTCTATGTAATATGTATACTTCCAAATCTACTGCAACTACGACAAAACAACAAAGGATAGTAAATCTGAATATTGAAATACAGTGAGATTCTAAGTTCTCGCTAAAACCACAGTCTCCTTGCACTAGGACAGAGGATCCAGTATATACATCAATCCTCCACCTATTCGATGGGAAGGGAAAGCTTAGTGGGGGTGGTTCTTGTGGTGGCCTGGTCAAAGAAATCAAGTCAGTGATGTCCCAACTATAAAGAGGGTATATAAGCAGTTTGATAGCTGGGAAACACATACGCAGGTGGAAGTAGTATTCCATGCTGTAACCCAGGATCAGGATACCGCCAATAGCGTGGATAAGGGCTGCATTAAAATCAGTACTTGTATCAATACAATGGGAAAATTGACGAATACGTACGAACACCGGAGGCGTTCTTGCCGTTGAAGTAGCGGGCTTGGTAGCGACCGATGAGACCGGTAGGCTTGACAGCAGCGGCAGGGCCACGGGGAAGACCAGCGTAGAAGGTCACAACACGCTCCATGCGGGCGGCATCCTGGGCGGCACCGATAGCCTTGATTGAGAATATGTCAGTTATGAAGGCGGAAGAAAGGCGGCATTTGGAATCAAATCGTGGGCTTCACGAAAAACGGCTTCGGGGCGGGACGGGTGTCGAAGGGATGCACTAAGTCGAAGATGGCAGCGCGGGGGTAACTCACGTTAGGGGAAGCGACCTGGGGGGGACAATTAGCATCATTTCAAGAATCGGATGACTACAAATAGTCATGAATGACGGGGTTCTTACCTTGGGGGGGATCAAGGTCGAGAGACCTCGGCGGGCAATGTAGCTCATCTTGTCTAGGCTGAAGGGGGTCAGAAATTGGTCGCATTGAATAGAGAGTCTCTCAATGAGCATTTGCAGGGTGGTAGAGACGTGTACTTACGTTGATTCGCAGCGCAAGTGAACCAAAGAAAGCTGATGGAGGAGGAAGGAGGAACAAACCGAGCCCTGCGGGTGTTCGGCTTGCCAAGCCCGGCTAAACCCGATTCGGCGGTGTCGTGACCTGTCTGTAATTCGCAACCAAACCACACTTGAAGGGAGTCCTCACTGGCAACGACCATTTCCCACATCAAAAAAGACACAATGTCACTGTTCAGAATCGGGGGTGCTGCTAGCCTTCGGGTCAGCCGACTCGCTGCGCCTGTCAATGCCCGTTTCATCTCCGTCAATTCCCCCAAGGCTGTTCCTTCCATCAAGACCACCACCTCGGATGCTCCCACCACGCCTCCCAAGGACAGCTCCTTGATCACCAAGGAGACCCCCTCCGAGGCTATGGCCCGTCACCAGCCGGATTATGAGGCCACCATTGATCACGGCACCTCGTACGACATCCCCCTTTGGTTCCGTCGCAGATCTTTTCACTAACTCTCTGGCTTCAATTAAGGCAATTCTCACCGGTGCCCAAGCGCGTCATGGATGGTAGCGAGCCCGGCAACACTCTCCCCGCGGCCGTTCTCTCCGGAGCCCCCACCGATCTCCAGGCCCGCACTGTCCGGTACGTTATACAAATTTCAAGCCGTATCGCCTAGCTCCCACAAACTAACCAATGATTCCCACAGTATCTATCGCCCTACCAAGGCCGCAACACAGTCCGGCACCTGGCACCAGCACCACTGGCGCATGGATTGGGACATCTTGCAGCGGGGCCACCGTTGGGAGAACTCACTCATGGGCTGGCAGTCGTCTGCCGATTGCATGCAGGGCACCAACCTGAAGTTCAAGTCGAAGGAAGACGCAATTGACTTTGCCCAGAAGCAGGGCTATGAATACTTTGTTCAGGAACCGAACGAGCGCCGTTTTGTGCCCAAGTCCTATGCCAACAACTTCGTTCACGAACCCAAGAAGATCAGACATATCAAGACCAAATGATTTGACTTCGCGCTGTATTATGTACATATTTGCCAGTTTACCACTCGAACTCAATTTCTCAATTTCAAGCACTTCTATATATCGTATTCTAACATGGATCATCTCTAGACGTCATAATTCAAGGCTAGCAATTACCAACTCCACCACCAGGATCAAAAGGAAGGGGACGATGTACAATATAGGGCTTCCAGCCAATAGACCGATTCCCAGTCCAGTCGCATTTACTGTGGGCTGAGCGTAGACAACTGAGTGGCTACAAAGTGCGAGATCATTACTTGGCTCATTTTTATATTATTTGTGGCATTGAACAAAGTTGCCTAGGAAAGTCCGTCAACCAATGCCTATAGTTCCAACTGTCCGCTATTTCGCAAACCAGCTGTGCTCGGATCCCAACGTGCTTTCTATAGTATCATTACAACCCCTAGAATCATTGCATGAGCATGGTGCATCTGAGCTATCATTTTCTAAAATAACATTTGAAGGTAAAGGTCTAGCTTCAGTTTTGTGGTTGCTTCGAACTGATCTATTCAAGTTTCTATTTCCGGTATTGACTGGGATATTTTGGCTCTATCGCCATATGTGTACAACAGGTGTAATGACTTCTACTTGGTTATTCGGTTAATTGTCGTTTTTCATGGCTCAAGGAACACTGGAATTTACAGACAGAAGGTCTGTAAAGAGGAAAAGATTATATATATATCCTCTAGGATCGGCGCTCCCTACGAAAACCCGCATACTCAATATTTAAACCTACAACACCATATTGGTTATGCAATGTTAGGATAGTCTAATCCCTTAGGAAATGAAATTATGGCTTGGGCTTACACCGGAAGCATTGAAGACAATAACGTACGAGCAAAAACCCATGCGCAGCTGAAGCCCGAATGGGCCCCGCCACCCCCCACTCTAAAAATTGATAAGATCAAAAAGATTAACAACTTTTCTTTCCCTTAATACTCCCGAGGTCCTCTAAGCACACACCTCAAAATGGGTTCCGAAACAAATAATACCGTTCCTACTCTCCGCAAGGTCCTGGTCTCCGAATCTGAGCCGCTTGCCCGTCGCTTCCGTGCTCTTTTCTCCCTTAAGCACCTGGCCTGTCTACAGCCCACCACAGACCAGACCCTCCCTGCCATCGAAGCGATCGCCGCAGGTTTCGCGTCGCCTTCAGCTCTGCTCAAGCATGAGCTTGCCTACTGCCTCGGCCAAACCAAAAACTTCGAATCTGTTGCATACCTGCAGCATGTGGTGAAGGATGCCGAGGAGGATGCGATGTGTCGCCATGAGGCTGCCGAGGCGCTGGGCGCTCTTGGATACGCGGATAGCTTGGATATCCTCAAGAGACTGAGAGATGATACAAATGAACTGGATATTATTCGGGAGACTTGCGACATTGCTGTCGACCGAATCCTGTGGGAGAACTCAGAAGAGCGCAAGGCTGAGAAACTGAAGCCTAGGTACGATCTGCGCGGGATATGATATACCATGAAGAGAAATGCTGACATTGAGATCTTTGATTTACAGTGATTTCACCTCTATCGACCCTGCTCCACCCATGCCCCTAGAGGCCAGCGCTGAACCCTGTATCCCCGACCTGGAAAAGACACTACTTGACACAAAGCTCCCTCTGTTCCAAAGGTACCGTGCAATGTTCGGTCTGCGCGATCTTGCCTCGCCCCCAGATCTTCCCACAGCAGTCGATGCCGTCAACGCGCTGGCCAAGGGCCTCAAGGACCCATCTGCTCTATTCCGCCATGAGGTTGCCTTTGTGTTTGGACAACTCTGCCACCCTGCCTCGATCCCTAGTCTCACAGCCTCACTGAGTGACCTGACGGAAGTAGGAATGGTGCGACACGAAGCGGCGGAGGCCCTTGGCAGCCTGGGCGAGGAGGAGGGTGTGGAGGAGACCTTGAAGAAATTCTTGAATGACCCCGATCAGGTGGTCAGGGACAGTGTCATTGTTGCTCTTGACATGGCAGAGTTTGAGAAGAATGGCGAAACCCAATATGCGCTGATCCCGGATAGCGCTGCACCCGTTGCTGCATGATGGATATCGTGCAAAAAAAGAAATTTGTCTCGTAACGGTCGTGATTTTAATAGCTAGTTATACAGCCTTTCCCCAAAAATAGACATTTCCCCACATCTTTTGTAAAATCCATGTTTCTCAGATTAATTGTTGGAGGTTTCCCTGTCGAAATAATTAGTATTTGTTGAGCATTTATAAATATATGTTGTTCAGGCGGGTGGACATACTTGAATCCGCAGACACATCTGTAGAACACGGTACTTCCTTCATCAGCACTGCGAAGTTGCACCGTAGTGTAGAACATCTGCTTCCTCCCGCAGTCGTTGCATGTACGATCGATAATAGCCTCAGTCTTTCGGTCTTCTGCTGATAGGGTCTGGACTGCCGATCGTTTGGCTCTCAGTGCTGAGGGGAATGCGGAGGGCTTAGACTCGGACACAGTTGTTTGGGGGATTGTATCTGCAAATAATAAGTTAGCAATGAATCGCCTAGCAGCCTGGCAGAAACGACAAAAGTTTTTATTCACCCACCTTTATTCCGAGTGCCGCAGACATCACAGTGCAGAATCGCATCTGCATTACCGGTAGATTCTCTAAGGAGATTACCGCAATCAGTGCAGAAAATTAAGGAACCGATGACAGACATGTTGACGAGTGTAAAATAAACTTCACGATCTGGAAGCAGAAGATCAGGAGGGCAAGCAAAGTGACAACGAATCGGGGCCTTATGCAGCGAATAATCTATGCAACTTTTTTTTGACGCACGAGCCTCCATATAGGCGGTCACATACGGCAATAAACGTGCCGTCACCCATACGGAATTCATGAACTCATTTGATCGTAGCTCAGCTCATTTTCTTTCAGATTCTGGTATTTATTTCATTACCTAAATGATCTAGGGATGTCATAAGGCGCTTGCCTTCTTTGCCATGTCTCTACCAGGAGCATGTCAACCTTGTGACTCGCGCCTACCTCTTTTGACTTAACCGCGACCATGGACCAGAATGGACGACCCGCCGTCCAGGTGGTCATCAACGGCCATGATCAAATGCCACCATATGCCTCCAATATGCAGTTTCAACAAAGGCCGCTATCTGTGGATGAAGCACTACAATACTCATCCATGTCCAGCGCGCCTATCTTTGGTCTCGGTTCGTCTGTTCTCTTTATCTCTTCAATTCTGCTCAATTAACTGACAACTTGTATGCACAGACTGTATCCTACGTCCCGATGTTGGTCGACCCTCAAATACTACTTCTATAAACCATGTCCTCCAAGAAGGCCGCAAAACACTGGGTGAACTTGACATGGAGATGCAATCTGGACGGGACGAGTCTAGTCGTTTAGAAACATCTCGAGAATATATTCAACAGTTGCTGGATGGAGACCAGCTAACAGAATTGTAAGGAAACCCGAGTCGTTGAAGCGCAGTTAACTAATTTGGATTTCATAGCAAATTCAAGCTTCCTCAGGTTCCTACGCGAAGTCAACAGTTGCGCCCAAACGATCCTGATGGTACTACTTCCGGTAGCAATAGCCTTGGTTCTTTCGCACGGATGATGCTTACCTCTACGGACATTGCATTCAGATGTAAGCCTCAAGATACTACGGCTGTTTGTACATAGTTAATTGACTGACCGGCTGCAGACCCCGAAGCACCTTCAAAGACAAAACCCGAAAAGAAAGACCTCACCCCGACGACAGCTGCTTCATTCAACCAGCGCGCATTCCTTACGAACAGATCGCAGTCGACATCTTTCTCAGCCTCTTTTGAGCAGAATCGTCCCCCATCGAGCCAACTCTCCGTGGTTATTCCAGTCAAACCTGTACCCCAACACAGCGATCACGCGAATGCGAAGAAGCAACAATTGAAAGCCCACGGCCAAGACGCCATGGCGGCGGTGCGACTTAAGGACCAAAAAGAGGAAGCAGATGCGGCCTTGCAAAAGCTTCAGGACCTTCTTCACGAGGTTTTTGAAGCGGAAGATCAAATTGAACCCGATACTTCGACTCCCCCAACTTCTGACACACCAAACCCCATTTTCGTGAACCCAACATCTCTAGAAGTGCATGGGTTGATACTCTCTTCTGATGCTCACACTCGCCTCCAGAAAGCCCTTCGGAAAGTTGCAGGATTTGACCGACTCCAGGACATACCGTCTGATTATCTCAACCGCATACAAAAATTGTGCGAAAAGCCAATCATTGCTGCAAAATCTCTCGACATAAGCTTAGGCGATTCATCCAGTGAGGTTGAGTCCCAAGAGTGGCTGGGTAAGATCGAGGATGTCTTGAATGCACTATTTGCAATCGGAACGCTGCTGCAGACGATGTCTGGGCGTCAGACGGAGCGAGAGCTCTGCCCAGAAGATCTTATCGAGGCCATTCCCACCGTTCTCAACCATCTCTTTGACCATTGCATTATTCCCGCAGTGGAATCGCGTCCTGGTGGCAAAGATAGCCAGCACTTCCAATTCTTCTCGGCCCAAAAGCGGATCATTGGTACTCTTGTCCACCAGAGCAAGAAAGTTCTCACTCTTTTTGCAGACTTTTTGTCTCGCATTGACGTCTCCGAGGGGACGATCACGGCTGCGGAATTCTTTGCTGCAAAGCTAATATTTGTGGAAAATGCGCACAATGACAAAGACTCCGCGTTAGGATACCAGAAATACGAGCCTGCGAGACGTGGTGCGATGGATGTGCTGGCAAAAGTGTTTTCAAAATACCCTGAGCAGCGGCCGTTCATTCTGGATGAGATTCTGGTCTCATTGGAGAAACTTCCCACCACACGTCAGAATGCCCGGCAGTTCAAAGTTGCAGATGGAAAAAACATCCAACTGCTCACCGCATTAGTCCTGCAGCTTGTTCAGACAACTGCGTTGGAAACACCTTCGCGATCGAAGACCAAACGTCGAATCAAATCACAAGCCGATGACGATGACGACGAGCTTATGGGTAATGGCGAGGACCATGCGAATGGTGAGTCGGATGACGACGAGTCAGACGAATCGTTGGAACGGCTGGCGAACAAGGCCAACCGACTTTACGACAATGCTATGCGCTCCGCACAGTACATTGTGAATTTCATCGTTCAGCGTGCTATGAACTCGACAAAAACTGGTGACCAGCCATATCGGAATATCCTGGACCTTTTCACTCAGGATCTGATCAATGTACTGGGGTCGGCTGATTGGCCAGCTGCAGAACTGCTTCTCCGGATCTTGGCTCTACGCATGATTCAAATCACCGACCAAGATAAAAGCGCGGCGACTGCGAAGAGTATGGCACTTGAGCTTCTTGGCTGGATGGGATCTGCTATCTCAGACCTGATAGCAACCGCCCAGCACATGCTCCCGGCTCTAGAAGATTCCGATAGTGAATTGACCGATTACCTCAAACAACAATTTGAGGAATTCTCTTCTGGCGCACTGCATCATCAAGACCTCATCACTCCAACGGGTCCGTATAGGATTGCGCTCGAGCACCTTTTACAAGACAAGAATTCCGACAATTGGCAACTGACCAGCGCACGGGGCTACTACTTGGCTCAATGGGCCAAAACAGCCTGCGCCCTATACTACAACCCCGAGGACCAGGAAGTAATTGCACACGACGAAGTGACTGATGATTTGGTTACGCTCTTAACAAGATCCTTCTCAGATCCACGCTGGTTGGAGACCCATAAAGAATTCGACAAAATTCCAAACGTGCATGGCAAATTTGCCTATATCCTCACGGTCTTGAATTCCAACTTCGGCAAAGCATTCGACACCATTCTCAAAGTTCTTTTGGCCTCTTTCCTCGGTGACTCGGCCAAGGTTCGCAGCCGCAGCTTGAAAAGTGTTATCTACATGCTCGAGAAAGACCCGAACCTTCTTGACAGAGATCCCTCAGTTTTGCGCGTAATACACCGGTGTACGACAGATGCCTCACCCATGGTTCGAGACTCTGCGTTGCAGTTGATCGGACAATGCATTGGTTTGAAACCTAAGCTCGAAGAAGAAGGATGTCGAAGCATTTTGGCCTGTGCAGCCGATCAAACAGCTGGTGTCCGGAAACGCTGCATCGGGCTTTTGAAGGAACTTTACCACAAAACATCTCGGAAGGAATTGAAACTAGCCATTCTTGATAGTTTCCTCCAACGCACAGGCGATCTTGAGGAGAGCGTGGCATCTTTGGCTCGCCAAACCTTTGAAGAAATATGGCTCGTTCCATTCCACGAATCCATTGATTCCTCGTCCGAAGGGCCGAAACTGAAAATGGCACTCGGAGAGCAGGTAGGCCTCATCGTTGGTCTGACCGAGCGCAGTGAAACTGCCCTGGAGTCTCTTAGCGTATGTCTGAAAGCGGTCCTTTCGGACAAATCCAAATCTGCGGCATTGAATTTCAAAGTTTGTAAGGCGATGGTCTCTACCATGTTCCAGAGACTGGTGGAGGATTCAGATGGATCCAGCAAGGATTTCCAGCAAGCTCTCTTGCAGACGATCACCGTCTTTGCCAAGTCGAACGCAAAGCTGTTTACCCCGGATCAGTTGGAGGCCCTGCATCCTTACATCGGACACCTTTCTACCGCGGATGATCTTTTCATATTCCGATCGGTTGTGGTTATCTATCGCTGCGTCTTGCCATTTTTGTCATCATCCCACAACACCCTTCTCAAGGAAGTGCAGAATGATCTTTTCAAGAGTGTTGCCAAGCTCGCCCGATCCGAGTTGAACGAAGTCATGGCTTGTTTGTGGACCATCAACAGTGTTCTGCAAAATACGAACAGACTGGTGAAGTTAACAGTTTCAGTACTGAAACCATTGCAACAGTATAAAAGTGTTGATCTCTCCTCGGCTACACATGCTGCAATCCTCGCCCGTGCCAAGAGTTATATTCGCATTGCAGGTTGTGTTGGGCGGCATTGTGATCTTGAAAAGTATGCATCTCATTTCAAGAGTGAATTCCCCACATGGGCCGGTGGCTCAGTTGCAGGGCTGATGGTTGACTCCATTATTCCCTTCACTGCATCAAATTCACCCTTCGATCTGAGGGTCATGGCTCTCGAAAGCCTGGGATCTATATGCCAGTCTTGGCCTGGTCAATTTGGCAGAGAACGCACACGGCAGACTTTCGCTCAGGCTTTCAAGGAAGATGCCCCCAGCCTACAAAACATCGTTCTCCGATCATTTGCAGACTTTTTTGCCATCCATGAAGGCAAATCAGAAAAGGCCGTTATGCCAACCGCGGAAGCCGCCAGTCAGGAAGACACCACTAGATTGGGTGGTTCTTTAAGAGCTAGCGACAACGATGGTGCTGCTGCTTTGATCGCCCAAAACTTCCTCTCAAACATGCTTCAGGTGGCCCAATCGCGTCAGGATACTTATTCACTGACTGCCATTGAGCTCATTGCGAGTATCAATAGACAGGGCTTAGTGCATCCAAAGGAATGCGCGGGCGTTCTCGTGTCTCTGGAGACTTCTACGGTACCTGCAATTGCGAAAATCGCATTCGACACACACAAAATGCTCCACCAACAGTACGAATCCATGTTTGAGCGAGAATACATGCGGGCTGTGCAAGAAGCGTTCTATTACCAGCGTGATATTGTCGGCGACTCCAATGGTGCTAATCCTCGACCCTATGTTTCGAAGCTCGCGCCATTGTTTGAGATCGTCAAAATCAGCAACAGCCGTTACCAGAAAAAGTTCCTCGCGAACCTTTGCTCCAAAATCAACTTCGAACTGAAGAAATTGGACGTAACTGGCAACCCTCCAGAACACCTTCTACTAGCACGCTTCATCTCCCAGAACTTGGCCCATTTTGACTACGGCCAATTGGCTGAAGTGGTGCCAACAATCGCGTGTATGGAGCGTATCGTTTCTTCGACTGGTACTATTATTGCCCACGCGATTGAGACGGATATATCTCCCACCCCGATTGGTCCGCCTCAGTTGGATGCTTCAAATGGCATGATGCCAGGGTTTGCGCCTGAGATGCCTCAATCGACGATCACACCGCGGCAAGCTAACCCTGCGACATTGAGACTGTTGGCAACTGCTGCTGCATCATTGTCAATGCTTTGGGAAGCTCGAACCCACCTTCGTCGTCTCTACGGAGTCAATGCTCATAGCAAGAACAAAGAAGGGAAACCTGCAACGAAGGAGCTCAATAAAACTGCCACCAAGGTGCACGGAGTGACCGGTGACAAGTTTTGGGAAGCCATCGCCAGAAATATGACAGCTCTAGACAGCGAGGAATCAATGCTCCAAAAATGTCGAGAGTTTGCAACCCTACTCTCCATCGATGAGGAATTCAGGGTGGATGGAGACGAGGACGCAGAAGGGGACAGCCTGGACGCTGCGGGAGATATCGACGAGACGGTGGCTCCTCGGCCCATGAAGCGCAAGAGCTCCGTCTCCAGTTCAAACCTCAGCAAGCGACCTAAGGGCCGGAAGAGTTCAACCGGAAGAAAGAAGTCCAGCGTTGAGCCGGACGAGGACCTGGATTGGGACTGATTTCTCGTATCCACATCATCCATCATACAGGGAAATATTTTTTTTTTAAATTATCTGCATGTCAAGCGAGGTCGGCGTTTTATTTATTTTCCTCTGCACATGAAGCATTCCGCGGGGAATGGCTTCTTTATTTTATCGAGACCGAAATGGGTGGTTGCTATGTTTATGCTTTTTTCCATACATGCTCTGAGCTTGAGGCTTTCCTCGAGCTCGGCCCGATATCCACTCCCATTAGTTATGGGTATATAATAGAACTCCAGGATTCATTTCCATTGGTACATAACAGAGTGACTTATCTAGATATAGTTGTCGGTGAATTTATAACGGAGCCCGGAGCTGTCGTATGAGTTCAAAGTTTTGATGCCGGATTCCCGAGTGCTCCTGGCACGTGACCGATATATGATGACGTCGCTGGTCATGGATACCTGTCGTATCCTTGTGTGGACTTTTGTGAGATAGACTATTGTTATTTCAGATTGTGTCAAGGTCGCTCGTTATTTGCGTGCACAGCGAAAGACCATGAACTGTTTCGTCTCTGTTCTCCATCGCTGAACATCCTCTACACAAGCTCCCTTCCTGTTATGACAATGCTTAACGCGATGCTGCGCCGGCCTTGTGCGGACGGCGCCGCAGTGAAGTCAATGGGGTCATTACCAGGTCGAATTCATACACGGAAGGCATTAATTACCTTACACCAACCCCTATCCCGATCCTTGCACACTCGTCGGCGACCGGCCCCCCAATGGCGAGCCTTGGTGCCGGGCTCGATACCGATCCGATCCAAATCAGAGATCGCAGCTAAAATGGAACCATTGAAACAATCCCGTGCTTTGACTGCTATACGCAAGGTCTTTACATACTGCGGGTTCTTCATCATCTCTACCGGCGCTGTGGTAGTCGCCTTCTTCCTCTACGATGCTAGTACGTACCGCGAAGGTGCAAGTGGGACGGATATTCCGGTCTCGGAATTGGCTCTCAGTCCTGAACTCGGAGGCCCGAAGAACTTGCCCATTGCGGATGTGCTGGTTGGCGACTACGACTCGGAGGCTATGCTTCGGCAGAAGGATAAGCCTCGTCTGGTTATCCTGGGAACAGGCTGGGGTACCATCGCGCTCCTTAAGAACTTGAACCCTGCCGACTACCATGTTACTGTTGTTTCCCCTACTAACTATTTCCTGTTTACTCCCATGTTACCTTCTGGTACGGTTGGAACTTTGGGTCTTCGGTCGCTGGTTGAGCCCGTTCGGCGCATTATTGACCAGATCAATGGTCACTTCCTCAAGGCTTCGGCGGTTGATGTTGATTTCTCTTCGAAGCTGGTGGAAGTATCCCAGGTTGGCCAAGATGGTCAGAGGAAGAACTTCTATCTTCCATACGACAAGCTTGTTATCGGAGTCGGTATGTTGTGCCAGAGAACAAGCAAGCAAGTAAATTTATTGACATTTCTATGTGCTAGGCTGTGTAACAAACCCACACGGTGTGAAAGGCCTTGAGCACTGTAACTTCCTCAAAACAATTGACGATGCTCGTCAAATCAAGAATAAAATTCTAGACAATATGGAGCTCGCGTGTCTCCCCACCACCTCTGATGAAGAGCGCAAACGCCTGCTGTCCTTTGTGGTGTGTGGAGGTGGCCCAACCGGGGTTGAATTCGCCGCCGAGCTGTACGATCTCCTAAATGAAGATCTGCTTCATTCTTTCCCTCGCATTGTACGAAACGAGATGTCTGTCCACATCATCCAAAGCCGAAGCCACATCCTGAACACTTACGACGAAGCACTATCCAAGTATGCCGAGGTACGTCATGTTTTCTCCACATCTGAATCTCCCTTGGGATTGTTCTAGTATTAACGCCTTGCAGGGCCGATTCACTCGCGATGGCGTTGAGGTGTTGACCAACGCCCGTGTCAAGGAAGTGCGCGGCGATCGGGTTCTTTTCTCCCAGGTGGAAGACGGCAAGACCGTTGTAAAAGAAATCCCAACTGGATTCTGCTTGTGGTCCACTGGAGTTGGTTAGTATACTAACACCACCATCACTCAATATACTGGATCAACTCACCACTAACATCTCTTTAGCTCGAGCCGAGATTTCAGAAGTACTCTCTAACAAACTCGAAAGCCAAAACAACAAGCACGCTCTCGAAACCGACTCCCATCTCCGTCTAATCGGCGCTCCATTAGGCGACGTCTACGCAATTGGCGACTGCTCAACAGTCCAGAACAACATCGCAGACAACATCGTCAGGTTCCTCCGCACCGTTGCCTGGGAGAAAGGCCGTGACCCCGAGAAAGTGCAGCTCACTTTCTCCGAATGGAAAGAATTTGCCACTCGGGTAAAGAGACGCTTCCCGCAAGCCTCGAATCATCTCCGTCGCCTGGATGTGCTCTTCGAGCAGTACGACAAGGACCACTCTGGCACCCTCGACTACGGCGAGCTGTCCGAGCTCCTCCACCAGATTGACACCAAGCTTACGTCCCTGCCTGCCACTGCCCAACGCGCTAACCAGCAGGGCGTGTACCTGGGCCGTAAACTGACCAAGATTGCCGCCGCCCTTCCCGGCCTCAGGGCCAACGAGATCGACTACGGTGACCTCGACGATGCTGTCTACAAGGCGTTTAAGTACAGGCATCTCGGAAGCTTGGCGTACATCAGCAACGCTGCTATCTTTGACTTTGGTGGTATGAGCTTCAGTGGCGGTGTCATTGCTATGTATCTTTGGCGTAGTATCTACTTTGCTGAGAGTGTCAGCTTCCGCACGCGGTGTATGCTGGCCATGGATTGGGGCAAGAGAGCGCTCTTTGGAAGAGGTACGTCTTTTATTCTCTTACTGTCTCCCGAGGTATCCATCAACATTCGTGCTTTGCTAATGCTTTTATTCTCTAGATCTCATGAGCTTCTAAGGACCGTCGTTCCCTCTTATTTGTGACCTGTCATTGGTTTATCTAGAGACATTTATGATTGATTTTATGTTCGATATTCGGCAGGCAGCGGGTCCAGAGCTATTTTGGTTGCTTTAAAACACGTCCATAGATAGATCTTGCCTTTGTTGCTTCTTTATTAGTTTTCATAGCCAAGCTTGATTTATATTTACAGGTTGAATTTCTTGTGGGACATCTGCCTGTTGCTGATACATGCATCGTACGCCTTTTCCAAATTTTAATCCGGTGGTACTACGGCACAGAACTACCATACGCAGGATAAAATAGGATACGTGACCAAAATCAAGATTATAAAGCCATTTTTATTGTAAAGGGGTCGAAACACCTATATTGGAGCTAACGAAATACCATCGCCCGAACACCTAGAAATGTGGATCCAAGACGCCGCGCTAGAAGAGCAAAGACGAAAAAAAGGATATTATGTCTTAACAGGATAGGAATCCGACTGACAATCAAGGCCAGCTTGAAAGGTTGGATCAAGAGACCATTGGGTCAATGTCGCTGTTGTTGGACATCAAAGAGTCACGGGTGTTAGTAGCAAGGTCATTACTGTTACTGTTGTCGTGAGAATCGCCGACCAAGCCAATGTCCAGGGTATCTGGAATGTCTTTTTTGGCCTCTCGTGCCTTTTGCTCGGCGTACGCCCGGGTCTTCACAAGATTGCGCAGCCGGGCCTCTTTACGAGCGCCCTGGTTCTGCAGAATTGCCTCGTTCACTTGGGTTGCGATTTCTTTACGAAGGGCAGGGTCCAGGAGCGACGCAAGCGAGGGGGCCAGTTTATCACTGGGGAAAATCAGAAGGGCAAGAGTCCGCTCGAGATCCGCCAGGAACTGTGGGTTTGTAGGAGCGCGCGGTGCAAGTTGTGCCGTTGCAAAATCCAGGGCGGGAGTAATATCGCTACCTGGGGTGTCCATGCAGGTACGGATCAGCTCAACCAGCTGCAGACGCAGGAGGGCGAAGTGCAAGGATGGGTCTTCGTCAAGGATCTATTGAAGTCTTGTTAGCCATGGCACTTGACATGAAATTTGTGACATGCTGGTAGGATTCAATATTTGGCAGTTGCTCATATTAAGGACTGAAGATGTTTGTTTTTCTGCAAATGTCCCCGAAGGGAGTTTAAGAGTGGTGCATGAAACTTGGTAAAATCATAGCAAGTGGGGCCAAGGGATGTGAAGTAAGCTAGTGGGAAAAAAATCTCTTACCTGAGGGTTCAGCTCGTTGATCCTCTCAACAGCTGCCTGGATATCACCCGAGTGAATCGCAGTGCGAATTTCAACCCGCTCTTGGATGGCTTCCAAATCCGTTCTGAGTTGGATGTTGGCCTCCACTGCGAATTTCTTCGCAGCAGCGGGATAGCCGTTGGTGATGAGGTAATCCATGACCAAATAGTTGATATCACTGCATTGTAATTGTCAGTAACCATTGATTCAACGGATGAATGAAAATTTTGCAGTGGTGACGTGAATCAGAAGGATAAGTCAAATTTGTTTCTCCTCACTTGTTTTCAGAGAGATTCCCAACTTAATTTCAAGAACATCATGTCACGGTGGTGGGCAGGTGGGGGAGGTGGAAGAGAGGTAACTCACGTCTTAGATGGCTTGACCTCCTCGAGCTTCCGCTCGAAGTGATGCCAAGTAGGCGTCGCAGTCGAGGGAGTGCGGGACATCTGCATAGTGTTAAAATGCCAGCAACCACGGGTGTCAAGCCGAGAAGCATACAAGATTAGCAGACATTATGAACTGGATAGCCGGTCTTGAATATAATCTGAAGCTATCCGTAAAGCTGGAAGGCAACCCGAGAGACGACGGCCATGGGGAAAGGCAAATCGCTTTGTGGGAGAAGACCGGGTTGGATGTGAAAGAGAAAAGGAATTGAAAAGCTCGCGGCGGAAGAAGTACCTTAAGCGAAAATATGCGCTAAACTCAAATGGGACGCTTATAAATATATTACTAAGCACCACCTGGCCCTCACGTGAGCAGCCACGGCAATCTTGGAACCTTCCAGGAAATGGACCTCGACTAACCCGCTTTAGGACTAGAACATTAGGTAATTATCGTGGGTCCCCACCTAACCAGCTAAGGTCACAATCGAAATCAAGAGGGGTGGAGAGGGTCAAGATACCTACCTTGTATTGTTGCACACGTAGACATGGAATCTATTTCACCTTTTTATTCTTTGTCCACTGAAGTGCGATATGCTCCACCATGGCAGGACTTGAGCATTATTGGTATTGCTGGAAGCTCTGGCTCCGGTAAGAGTTCCGTGGCAATGGAGATTGTCAAGTCTTTGAACTTGCCGTGGGTGGTGATCCTTGTAATGGTACAGCTTGCGAACTCTAGTGCATCTGAATTGAGACACTCTTGTTCTAACATATTCGATGCAGGACTCATTCTACAAGACCTTAACTTCTGAACAGCACCACAAGGCCCATGCAAATGAGTATGATTTCGACTGCCCGGAATCGATTGACTTTGATGTGCTGGTGGAGACCCTCCGTGATCTGAAGAAAGGGTAAATTTACTCTTCTTCCGATAGTTCTTCTCTTTGGCCTGACTAGATGTAACACAGAAAGAAAGCGAACATCCCAATTTACTCCTTTACTGAGCACCAGCGGCAGCCTAATACGACCACCCTCTACTCCCCTCGTGTAATCATTCTCGAGGGGATTTTGGCGCTTCATGATCCCAGAATCGTTGAGATGTTGGATGTGAAGGTATAATAGCTTCTTCGCTATATTTCTGCTTATCGGTGCTAATCTATGGTCCAGATCTTTGTTGAAGCAGACATGGATGTATGCCTAGGTCGCAGGGGTAAGTTGCCTCAATCGTGCTACGTTAGTCCCCACTGACAATATATAGTATTGCGTGACGTCCGTGAGCGAGGACGTGATATTGAAGGAATCATCAAACAATGGTTTGAATTTGTGAAGCCTTCTTACACTCGATTTGTGGAGCCTCAACGTCCTATCTCAGGTTGGTAGTTGTATGAGTGTGCAAGGTGTTAGAGACTTTTTTTTAACTTTGGATCCCAGACATCATCATCCCACGTGGTATTGAGAACACCACCGCTATCGGTATGCAATCTCCCGGAGATGCTAGTTTAAGAGCTATACACTAATTCACCTAGATATGGTGGTCAAACATATTCAACGCAAGCTGCAGGAGAAATCCGACAACCACACCGAAGCGCTTCGCAATCTAGGCTTGATTGCAGCAGAAGTAGAGCTGCCTTCAAATGTGCATGTCTTGCCCTCGACTCCGCAGTTTATTGGCATGAATACTATTCTGCAGACCCCCGAAACTGAGCAAGAGGATTACATCTTCTACTTTGATCGACTGGTTTCGATCTTGATTGAAAAGTACTACCGTCCCTTCTCATGTGTGCCTTGTGGCTACTGTACTGACACCACCATCCCAGGGCCTTGGACATGACATCGTATGTATCTGCAAATGTGGAAACACCACAAGGGAACACATACCTCGGTTTGCATCCCAAGGGTATCGTATCAGCTGTGGCTATCTTACGTGGAGGCTCTTGCATGGAGACTGCGCTTAAGCGATCTATTCCCGACTGTATTACTGGTCGTGTGCTCATCCAAACGAATCAGAGCAACGATGAGCCAGAGTTGCATTACTTAAAACTTCCGACGCAGATCGAGGAGCATGCAACTGTCATTCTGATGGACTCTCAAATGTCCAGTGGAGGTGCTGCACTTATGGCTGTTCGTGTCTTGATTGATCATGGGGTGGAACAAGGGAGGATCGTTTTCGTAACTTGCGCAGCAGGTGAACGGGGCCTCAAGAGGCTTACTGCCGTTTACCCCAGAATCAATGTGATTGTTGGACGTATCGAGGAAGAGGGAGAACCGCGCTGGATAGAGAAGCGGTACTTTGGATGCTGAGATGTTTCTTCATTTGCTGCTCATCCAAGTATATATATTGACACATTTACCATGATCTATTTCCGAGACCAAGCATTGGGTTACCCGGATTGTCATTTAACAAGAGCGTGCTTATACAAACCTTGCATATTTACTCAAACTCAAGCGAATACGATTACAATTTACCTAGGTATCTTCTTGAGTTGTCTTCCATGACAATAGCCTTGGGAAGTAAAAAAATAGACTTGCCGTTTTGAGAATACACGTGCCTGACCGCCCTGACTTCGGCGGGCAGAAAAAAGAAATAATTTATGGGTCTCGACTATTTTCACTTGCTGAATTCGACGATCTCTATTGATATCCAGGCATTGGAAAGATTTTATTGCGTATTTGTGGGCGCAAAGTGAAACTTTCTAGCTCTCACAATGGCAGGCCCAGACAAGAAAAAGTCCAAGGCCGGCAAGCCTAAAGGCGAAGCCGGTCCAGCGATCAGTACGTACAGTGGAAGCTCATGAGTTGTTTTCAGGAAATCTATGACCATGATTACTGACTATTAGTGTCGCTGCAGCGGATCCTCGTTTTGCGAACATCCAGACCGATCCTCGCTACCGTCTTCCTAGCAAACGCCAGACTCATGTCAAACTCGATAAGCGCTTTGCGCATGTGCTAGACGATAAGGATTTCTCCAGCAACGCTCCTGTCGATCGCTATGGACGAAAGCTCAGAAAAGATGACACCAAAGAAAAACTGAAGCAGTTTTACCAGGTGGAGGATGACGAGGACGAAGATGAGGATGAGGACAGCGCCGACGACGACGAAGAAGTCCAGAAAGAATTGAAACGGGTCAACGCTGCCTCATATGATCCTGCCCGGGATGGCGGCTTCGAGTCCTCGTCATCCGAAGAAGAAAGCTCCAGCGAAGAAGAAGACGAGGCGGAGGAGGATGAAATCGAGTTTCCGGATCAGCAGCGGTCCGAAGTGCCACTCGGCGAAGTGACGAATCGGATAGCTGTGGTCAACCTCGATTGGGAAAATATTCGCGCCGAGGACTTGATGGCAGTATTCTCCAGTTTCCTTCCGTCTGGAGGGCGGGTGTTGAATGCTACGGTCTACCCCAGCGAATTTGGAAAGGAGCGCATGGAGAGGGAGGAAGTTGAAGGCCCCCGAAAGAGATTTTTGGTTCTGAGAAGAAAAAGAACACCAGCGACGATTCCGATGAGGAGGAACTTGACTCTGACGAAGAGGAGGAGGAAATTAAGAAGTCTATGCTGAAGGGTGACGACGGTGAAGAATTCAACTCTACACAGCTACGGCGGTACCAGCTCGACCGACTGCGGTATTACTACGCCATTATCAAATTTTCATCAAAAGACGTTGCAAAGCATGTCTACGACCTGGTGGATGGTGCCGAATACCTCTCCAGTGCCAACTTCTTCGATCTCCGCTTCGTGCCTGAGGACACTGACTTCTCCGATGACAAGGCTCGGGACGAGTGTTCTCGGATTCCCGACGGTTACAAGCCTACTGAATTCGTAACGGATGCTTTGCAACACAGTAAGGTCAAATTGACATGGGACGCGGACGACAAAACAAGAAAAGAAGCTCAGGCACGTGCCTTCCGGGGTTCACGCCAGGATATTGACGAGAACGACCTAAAAGCCTACCTCGGTAGCGATAGTTCCGACAACGAAGATTCAGATGACGAGGACGGAGGCGTCGAAGTTGTCGATAATACCGCAGGAGAAGCTTCGACCACAAAACTATCCAAGAAAGAGGTCGAGAGACAGCGCATGCGTGCGTTGCTAGGTCTGAGCGCCGAGCCTACCCGCACCAAGCCGGAACGCCCCGTCGGCGAGATGGAGGTTACTTTCACATCGGGCTTGGCTGGCGGCCATGGCAAGGATACCATCTTCGAAAATGAACCGGAGATCGAAGAGAGCACTCTTGACAAGTATGTGCGGAAGGAGCGTGAGCGCAAAAAGCGCCGAAAGGAGAAACTCAAGGCCCCCAAGGCATCTTCAGGGGATGACGCCGCAGCGGACAGTGAAGACAACGAAGCTGCTCCAGCCGAGCCAGCCGAGGCGCCACAGCAAGAGGAAGAAGAGATGGGATTCAATGATCCCTTCTTTGATGACCCTACTGGAAAGCCTACAGCAGGTTCTCGACGCAAGGAGGAGAGGCGCAAGAAGCGTGAGGAACGTGCCGCCGAGGAAGCCGCGTCAGCTGCTCAACGGGCTGAGTTGGAGCTACTGATGGTAGATGACGAAAAGGTCAACATCAAGCACTTCGATATGACCGAGATTGAAAAGGCTGAGAAACAGGCCCGGAAGAAGGGCAAGGGCAAGAAGGGCAAGAAGGTGGAACCTGCCCAGGTAGATGACTTTGAAGTCAACGTCAGCGACCCCCGTTTCTCACGTCTGTACGACACTCATGATTTCGCCATTGATCCTACCAACCCCCGGTTCAAGTCGACTTCCGGCATGAAGGCCCTCTTGGACGAGGGCCGTAAGCGCCGACGTACCGGTGATGACGCGGAGGCTGAGGCTCCGACAGAGAGCCGGGATAGCCAGAAAAAGCAGAAGAAGTCCTCCAAGGAGTCTAGTTCTGAAGAGCTGAAGCGATTGGTGGCAAAAGTCAAGCGTTCTCACTAAGAGTATAGTATAACTGAAATGATTTGGAAGTTAATACACTGGAGTTCAATGAAAGAAATTGACACATGAAATATGATCTCTTTACATATGTACATTGGCAATATGAAACAATATACTAGTACATGCTTTCCAGAATAGCTGACAGCCAATGTGCCGTCTCGTGTCAACATACTGGGAAACGGAAACGGAAAGACGAAAATTTACCGGCTGAAGGGCAGAGACACGTGGACAGAACAAGCTTAGTAGTCAAGATGAAGAGCATCCCTTTCCCCCAGGGTCGGGGTATTTACAAACATGATTATAGGGTCTGCCGAGAGGTGTGATGTCTGGGGTTGCAGGCATAATCCTTGTATCACACGAGGTATAGTTGACGGTGTAGAGATGGCATGTGCCCAACATGAGTAATATTCTGAGAGATAAATTATTTCCCTCCAATCCCAAATTCATCTCCGTCTCAAATCACACAAATCAGCGCCCCCGAGTAACACGATTCCTTGCAAACCCGACTATACGGTGACACGATGACAGTGAAGGATAGCGACATAGAGAGCAGCAGTAGTGATTGGTAAAGGTATCATTGGATGTAGTACCGATAGCCGAGAATACTTGGTCAAGCGAGGGTCTTCCTGCGCTTCGAGCTGTATACCTCGTGATGCGTTCAGTGCTGCATACACCAGAGCCACAGAAACAGATCTATAACAGAAGATCAAAAAGGTCACTATCCCTTACTGTAGACCTTGAGGCTGAGATCATGTGACTATACTCACCGCCTTTTCATATTCCCTCTCCACTGCCCCCCGGGTGGTTTCTCTGTTCAATAGACTGGGTCCTTTAAGAAGCTCTGAGATTATTTCACTTGACCTCCTAGTTTTCTACACAATTCAGATCAGACTGTGGAGTCCTCGTGGGTGCAAAAGCCAATTCCCAAGTCTTAATTGCTGATCCAAGCCCCACTGCTGCACCTCATCCCACCTTCCACTCCTCCCCTCTCATAACTCTGGATATTCTCAATTACCTTCATCATTCGATGATGATTCTTGCTTCGTTGAATTAAGCTATGGGTGGATGCAGCCTAGATACCCCTAGCTGTCTGATACCCATTGTTACACCGCGTGAATTCGACCGGCCCGTTTTCTTTTCCCTGCGTCGCTAAGTACCTGTTCTCTCTGCGGGTTTCCCCGTTATCATTCACCATGCTTGGCCGACTCTTGAGTACCGCCGCGTCAACTCTGAACCCGGCGGCATACTCTGGACGAAGCAATGGAACACCTCTTGAGTCTGTGACTGAAGAGGAGCATACCTCCGGTCTTCTTTTCCCCGACGCCAGCCTCCTTCGACGTTCCCATACCCATGCCTTCCCATTACAGACAACCTTCAATTCCCCGAATGCCTCGACCGCTGGAGCATATGATGACCGTGGGGGAATGGAATTGGATGCAATCAAAGATTTTCGTGTGATTGTTGCACAAAATGCATTGGGCGACCGAGATGCATGTGTCTTACTTGACACTCGTGCGTCCGATTCATCCCCCGCCGGTCTTGGAATCGACCCACAAGGCAATGAACAATCCGGTCTTAAACATACTCGGGCAGTCTCGAGTCTTTCTCGTGGAACACGTCGAAATCTTCTCACCCAATCCTCCCTCATCGAATCGAGTCCCCTCTCCGCAGCTGCAGATGCACGCAGGTCGTCACCAGCTAGCCCGGGTGCTTTTTCCCGGGCTCGAGGCCGTAGCTCTACACTGGCACCCCCGGGAACACATGACCATGGCCCATCACGACACTCCTCCGACTCCAATGATACCGGCCTTCTGAACTGCATCTTCGGCAGCAGCGCCTTCAGCTACCGCGGGTCATCTACGAAAATGCACATAATTTCTGCCGACGAAGACTCAGCACCTGGGGTGAGTGCATCACCTGCTGCCCGCAGTCCACTTTCCCGGGCCTATACCACAGGGAGTCCCTCGGCTCCGATAGGAGGAGCCCGAGGAGTGGAGGACAAGCCACCCTCCAAAGTCACAGTTCTCTTGACTCGCATGTTTAGTGTGAATCTTCCCGAAGGAGCGGAAGCATCAGCCGAGCGACATGACTACGCTAATGCTCTCTACCAAGAGTCATTGCCCGAAATGGAGTTCCCATTCCCGGATGTTTCTAAGCGTAAGAAAATCAAGGAGAAGAAGACACCCATGTACGCGGTTGCAATCACGATTCAGGTTCCCTTGCTGCCACGCAATACGGGACGTCCTGTATCAAGATTTAGTACACCAGGTTCAGACTCTCCTCGGCCAGGGTTTTCAAGCTCGCTGGATTCTGACCACCGCTGGCCGGGTGGATTTTTTGATGATAGCTTATCATCTGCTTCGCCCCCTGCTAGCCTGGATGAGCGTCTGGACTTGTTAGTTGATCACTGGGACGTTATCACTCGTACACTCTCCCACCTCGAAAGACTTGTTCGCAACGAAATTCTCTTCCTTTTGAAGAAGGTGGACTCTTTATCCGGGCCACACCCAAAGCCTGCGAAGCCTCCCAATATGCAGCGCACCAACCAGACCATTGTCCATTTACCTGCCAACATTTTATCGGTCAACTCGAAGCTCAAAGAAGAAGCTATTCGCAGCTCTCGCCGGATCAGCCTTGCTCTTCAAACCCCATATGTGGTCACTGGTCAAAGTCGCTGGGGTGTCTGGAGAGAGGAAGGCCGCTCAATTGTCCGTGGTCTGGGCGACAAAGAGCAAAACTTCTTCTTTTTAGTGGTTCTGACAGCATTTTTGGGAAATCACACCGAGTGGCTCAATAGCCTTGGCCCAGAGTGGTACCGACGCCGCCATAGCCAGCAACAGAAAGCCCAGCAGGATGGCGAACTCACTCTTGCAAACAGAACAGTCATTATATGCCCAGATAAGATGACTGCTCGCCGCCTCGTGTTCTTACTAGCCGCTTTCTTGCCCTCCAAGCAACGCATGGAGCCGTTACCTTCCCCTCTTAGACCTGGTACATCGGCCTCAATGCGTGCTATCTCTCAAAGCCCACCGACCGTGCCTGTCCTTCGCCAGGAGTCTCTCCGGAGAGCGATCGAACGACGAGCCCGTGCTCAACGAATGATCATGGGCGATAATGATCACCACCAGCGATCAGTGAGCGTTTCGTCTCAGGAGACAACCCAGCGGTCGATAGATGGAGCTGAAATAACCCCACCGGCGGAACACCCGGCCTCGGCCCGCAGAGGGTCTGATGCTCGCTCCATCAAACCCCCCGGTGCAAACATCCTACCGAAGGATGCCCGGGCCATGAATACGAGCGGAGCAACTACTTCTATGATCACTCAGAGCAGCACCGTTCCTGTTCCCCATTTTACTTCTCAGCCAAGCCATTCTACCCAGGCCAGAACAGAGGGCAGCGCAGCCGAAGGCAACGATAGCCTAGCATCGGAGACTCTACTAAAGAGTCTTCAACGAAGTGATAGCTCTGCAGTGAGCACAAACGACAGTGTTTCCTCAGCTGGAGGCCGCTGGGGAGGTATTTTCTCCGGTCTTTGGAGCTCCCGTCAAGGCTCATCTACCGAAAGCAGTGAGCCATATTCCCCATCCGAAGCTCGCAAAAGGTCCGCCTCTACAATCTCTGGTCCTGCTAGGCGCGGGTCCACCACTTTGACTCAAATGGTCAGGGAAGTCACTGAAAATGAGGATGAGCACCGGCCCGAAACAGCTCCTAGTGGGAACATCTCAATTCCAGCTGCTTCTGCCGCTGCTCCTCACAACACCCAGGCTGCCTCGCCAGAGCCGTCATCACTCACTAGCCAAGTTCGGGAGTCGCCTTTGAAGTTATCAGTCCGAGCAGATGAGGGCGTGGTGGATGTTGACCTTCCACTTCCTGGTTTCATGTCACTTTCTTCGTCCGGCGATTCAACTATTGCCTCGCCAAAGAAGACTCGAACATCTGTTACCAGCATGGATGCAGTTGCTTCTACGCACAGCAGTGGCTCCGGATTTCCCGGTATCATGAAGGACAGCGATGGGCCGACTGCCCATGTGGCTGGTTGGTTGAAGTTTTTCCATGAAGATTTCTCTCTTCAAGCGGTCCGGCCTTATGCTTCTCTCGAAGCAGAAATCAAACGGGCAATGCGGGCTGAACCATCCCCGTACATGGCCTCCGCATCCGATGTGGACGGATCAGAGAGATGGGTAGATGTTGCGACGACTTTGATTGCAGACACCAAGGCTTCTACGGTGAAACGACTCCGCTTGCGACGCAAAATCATAGTGGGTCACAGCTCTGGGGCTCCTCGTACGCCTCCTTCCCCTGCCAACGCTACCCCCCGTGGATCTACTGGAGGTGCCTCGGCCTCCCAATTCACCAGCTTCTTTTCTGGACATGAGAAACCTCATGGGCCGACCACAGATGGGCAAGACCAGGGCTTTGTGGAAGAGCGCTTCATCGAGGAGCCTGTGATGGACCTCGACGGAGTTCTAGTTGATGCTGTCGAGCGTGTCTTGGGACAAAGTGGTTACTCGTCAATGGCACAATCGCGTGCCCCTTCCCCTAACCGTGCTCGTAGAGCTGAAGACAAAGGCCCCTCTTCTAGAGGCGATGAAGCCCCTCCCGTTGAGGTGCCTCGTGGTGAATGCCGTAAGATGGTGCTTGGGGCCCTGGAAGAAGTCGTCCGCCTTGTTACGGCTGAGCACTGCCGTGAAGATGTGGACAGCACACTCGGGCTTGCCGACCGCGAGCGGAGAAGAGCACAATCAGGTGCTGATAATACGTTGCGTGAAGGAATCCGAAAATGGCTCCTTGATGTCGAAGAAGTCTGGTGATTCTGCTTTACCAGGCTTTGATTTCTTTACGTTTGGTGATTGCATATTCATGCCTATTGCACTTATGCATTGTTCTTCTTATTTCCCCTGCCCAATCGTTAGTGGTATGGTCTCGCCTGCTATGGTACTAGACCTGGGCTTCGTTTTTGACTACCTTTCTCTTTGATTTTTCTCGTTGTTTTCGCCTTT